GGTGTGACTGCTGAGGAACTGAGAAAAGATTTGTCATACCATGTGGGTACAGAAGTTTCAGCCCAGACAATAAGACGCACACTGCGTAATGAAGGCCTCCGTGCCAGAACTCCCAGGCGCAAAAACCCCCTTGCTGTCTCCAAAGAATAAGAAGAGTCGACTGCAGTATGAGCCAAAAGCCATGTGGACAAACCACAAAAGTTGTGGGATAGTGTTCTGTGGACAGAGTTGGAGTGATGAAACAAAATTAGAACTGTTTGGGCCCATGGATCAACGCTATGTTTTTGGAGGAGGAAGAACAAGGCCTATTTGATTAAAAAGAACACCTTGCCTTTTGTGAAGCATGGTGGAGGGTCAATCATGCTTTGGGGCTGTTTTGCTTCTGCAGGTAAAATCTGACAAGGGAAGCTTCAGCGTGTGCAAGGTACCATGAAATTCTCTTCAGTACCAGGAGATATTGGATGGAAACGTGATGCAGTCCGTCACACACCTGAGGCTTGGGAGACGTTGGACCTTTCAACAGGACAATGATCCCAAGCATACCTCCAAGTCCACTAGAGCATGGTTGCAGAGGAAAGGCTGGAACATTTTGGAGTGGCCATCGCAGTCACCAGACTTAAATCCGATTGAGAACCTCTGGTGGACTTAAAGAAAGCAGTTGCAGTGCGCAAGCCTAAGAATGTGACTGAACTGGAGGCCTTTGCCCATGAAGAATGGGCGAAGATACCCGTAGATCGCATGCTGCAAGACACTTGTGTCAAGCTATGCTTCACGTTTTAAAAGCTGTTATAACTGTAAAAGGATGCTGTACTAAGTACTAAGATTGAATGTCACTTGGGGGTTGAATAAAACTGATAATGCTGTGAGCACAGAAAAGACATTTGTGGTTATTTCATTATAACTGTTATGTTATATTTGTCTGACCTACAAGTGCCTCTTTAATGTAAATGTAAGCAAGATGACTGAATGATCAAAAGCAATGTCAAACTGGCCAAAACACTCAATTTCAGTGGGGGTTGAATAATTTTGGTCACAACTGTATATCTCATTTACTTGTGTTTAACCTTTTTTTTTTTTTTTTACATTTCTTTAGTTACTTCCTGGTTCCCATGCTTAGGCAAAAATGTCATACATCCCAGCAGTTCTTCAAAAGGGAGGCAGGGTTCTCAGCACAGCCTATGCCTGAGCTAAGGGCAGATGGATTTCAGGAAGTAAATGATACATGAATCATCTGCCCCTTACTCAAAATGGCCACTGGCAGAAATGCTAGAGGGTGGTTTTCAAAGTGATTTCTCAGTACAATAAAAAATAGAGACATGGATGGATGGGTGAGTTTGCTTTAAATATTATAAAATGAATTAAATAGCATTTTTGGTTTGTGATGCTCAGATGCAGTGCAACTCCACTTTAAAGGTGTCTCCTCTATAGAAACAGAAGCAATTAATACCATTTTTGGACAGCAGCATTGTCAATTTGTGGTAGCGCAGTGTCTTCGGTTCCATTCACATCTGAGCATAGTGTTTTTCAGCTTTTTCGTGCATATTTTTACAGTGATTTTTTTTTTTTTTTTTTTTTTTTTTTTTTTTTTTTTTTGTGATTTCAGCAATTTTTTTTAGCAGTTTTTGAGCTTTGGTGTTTTTTTTTTTTTTTTTTTTTTTTTTTTTTTTTTTTTTTATTCGCCAATATAGAAAAAAATCTGTTCATTTGTTGCTAGGTTTTTCTGTTATTTTTTAGTTTTTCTATCAGCTTTTCGTTTTTTATTATTCATTTATTATTATTTTGTTTTTTATTAGGGTAAGAGGTTAGAGTTCGGATTATTGTTTGGCTTAGTATTTTATGTATTTTCTTCTTCTTTATTTATAGTAATTTATTATTTTCTTATTTATTTTTTGTTCGGGTGACAATAATAATACAAATATAAACCCCCTAAATAAAAGAACAAAAAGAATACATTCATAATAATAAATAATAATAAAAAAATAAATACACAAATAATCGTAATACCTGTAATTATTTCAGAATAATTAACCCATAACCTTAACCCCAATAAAATCCTAAAACCTAAAAAAGTTATAAAATAATTACCAATAATTGTATTAATTCATTTTTTTTAAGGTTAGGGATTAATATTTATGATTTATCATTTTTTATTTGTGTATTTATTTTACTCATTTATTTTATTTATTTTTTCATTTGAGCAGAAAATCGCGCAAAAACACCAATCGTGCATTTCTATTCTTTTCTATGGCAATAAAAACATGTGAATCTGCCCAATTTGAGCTCCAAAAGTAGCTCCAAAACTTTTTTGAGCTTCAGGCGTTCTGCTTCAGACGAGTTGGAGTGGAGATTTTTTTTTTTTTTTTTCCCTTGAGCGTTTTGGAGTTTCGAGCTGCAAAACGCTCAGGTGTGAATGGGGCCTTAAAGATGAAGTCCAGGTAACATTTTTTTTAAGGAATAATAGCAACACTTTTTTTTTTTTTCTCCCTTCCTTTTGGGTTAAAGGTTTTAGTGACACAAATAAAATCTGACCACGGCAAGCACCCATGTCAGTGTGGAATGGTTTATCTCAACCCTCTGCCTTGCTAGGCCACTTGGTTGCCTAAAAGAAGCTGAAAAATAACACTTAATGGCTGGATCACCAGGTGAAAGTAAAAGAAAAGGGCCTAAAAAAGAAAGCTAATGCAGCCATCACATCTAAGAATTTGTAATCTGCAATATATTAAATTTTATTTTTGGGGTTAATACCATTTCAAGACAATTTTTTAACAATTGTAATCACAAAGTTAGACATTCTTCAGCCTATTTAAAAAAACAAATTAAGTCAGCAGCTACAAATAATGTTGCTGCTGACTTTGAAAAGAGAAGTAGGGCTTTTTTTTTTTTTTTTTTTTTTTTTTTTTTTTTTTTTTCCCCTATTTATACTTATCTAGGTGGATACAACATCTGTCTGATGCTTCATTTTGTCCCCCTGCCGGCTCTAAGGGTGAGAACTCCGCAATCACATGATCGCTGAGTTCTCACAGCTGCTCTGAGCACAGAGGGGAACTGTCAGTCACCGGTCTGCTCGGCCCCCCCAGCGCTCACTGAACAGATGGGCTGTGGAGGGAGAGGGAGCAATGAGAGGCTGAGCCAGGTGCTGCTCCAGACTTTGGGGTGGATCCCAGCTTTACAGTCGGGATCTTTCCCCAGCCTGGACCAGTTGAGTCACATCAGCCGACAGCGGACTTCAGTCCGCTGTCAGCTGAAAACGGGTCACAGGAGTACAGAACGAACTGCACTCCTGTGATCCGCAGGAGAAGTACAGCCAAAAAAAGCTTTGTCTGTACTTCTCCTTTTAATAAAAGGGTACTCACCTGTCCAGTGGTCCAACACTGTGCTCACCCAAACCGCTGCTTCGCTGGTTTTTGGGTCCTGGGCTCCGGCATGTTTACTGTGGGCAGCTGCCTCTGAATCCTTGCGTGCTCACAGTTCGCATGCGTGAGCCATGTTGCTCTTTATAAATGGTCCTAAAGCCTTTTGGGACCTTTGATGTGTCCCAGAAGGTTGCAGGGGGGAGGGGGAAAGTTCCATACCGGAAGTGGGAGCGGGTACCTGTCAACCCCCCCCCCCCTCCCTCCAAAAAGTGCCAAAACCAGAAGAGTGGAGAGGAAGTCATAAAGCAGAACTTCCCCTTTTAGGATTACAATAAAAGTAAGCAGCTACAAAAACTGTAGCTGCTGACTTGTAAAATACAGCCATTTACCTGTCCCTCGGTCCAGCAGTGTCCTCACCACTGCTGGTTTCACCGGACGTCTTCTCTCCCTGGCACCAGCATCTTCAGTGTGGGCACCCGGCTGTGACAGTTTACTGCTTCACAGCTGGGTGCCCACTGCGCATGTACAAGAAGCGCTGCCCTTCTGAATGGCCCGTAGTCTTCTGGGATCTGTCACGTGTCCCAGAAGACTACGGGGAGGGAGGGGACTTCCGCTTCCGATCGCCTAGGCGATAGCAGTGGGAGTGGGTACGTGTCAAATTTGGGTACCCCCCCCTCCCACCAGCTCCCCAAAGGTACCAATCCTTAATGGGAAGCGGGGGAAAAAGGCTTAAAGCGGAACTTCCCCTTTTGGGTGGAGCTCCGCTTTAAGTAAAAATAATAAAGTGCAGAATAAAACTAATTATATATAAAAAAAAAAAATGTTAAGCCCTCCCTTGAATATGCACACAAATGTGTACATAAACTATGATTGCTCAGGACATGTTGGAAACGCTGCATACTGGAATGACAGGAGTAATTCTAGGGCCATTGTTTAGGCGCTGTTCACATTTGTGCGACTTGTCATGCAATTTTGGACATTGTCTCATGACAAGTCACAGCCCATTCTTTTCAATGGCACCTGTGCAAATCGGTGTGACTTAGTCAAGGTGCCTGCACTACTTTGATGCAACTTTGATCCAGAGAGTGTAAAGTCAGATCTAAGTCACACCGGAAATTGTATGACTGTAGTTGCGCCAATGTGAATGGAATCTAGAATTGGAAGTTAATGACCTGTAGAAACTTTTAAATTGTTGCCTATAGACACGTTTTTGTATTGTAGTGCTTCGCTGTGTTGCTGGCAAATGTAGTTTAAGTATTGACTTGAATACGTATCTACTTGATCCTGTCTCATCTTTTATATTTCGCAGAAAATTTGGAGATTTTATTGGTTTGTGTAAACGAATGTATTTTTTTTACTGAAAATATGGATTTGATAAACAGTTTAGCCAATATTGTGCAACATAAAAAATTGGATCCTCTACTGTCACAAAATCTGATGTTTGGTTTTAAATACGTTTTCCTGTGAGACGTGTATTTTTTAACTAATGTTGGTACTATTATACAGTTGCTTTAAAAAACGTTTACAGCAACTTACATAATTTACATACTCCAAGGGATTCCCAGTTCTCGTCTTGTTGAAATGTAACACCGAAATATGCGCAGTATACTTCTTACTGTAAACTTTCTTGTATGTTCTTATTTATAGGTTTTGAACTCTCAGGCACGGCATTTGGAAGTCAGGAAATCCTGTATAAAGTACCTGCGTGAGAATAGGACCCACTTCGAAGCTGTAAGTAAAATGTGGATTTTTTCTAACTTTTGATGCTGTCAGCCATTCTTCTACATCTATAACCAATATTCTTTGGCAGAACTGTTGCTATGGAAATATTTATCTTGTGGTTCAGAAGTAACTTGCATGGTTAAAATAAACAAATCAGACTTGGGCCTTGTTCACATGGGCATAGTTAAGCGTATATCCTTGCAAAGGCTGGGTTTTGCACAGGTGTTCAGTGTATGCGCATTGTGGGTAGCCGCATTCATGTCCATTGGGAGCAGCAGCTGTATGGACACAGCCACTGCTCCCCAGTTTGACATTTGTGTGGGTTCCTGTCCCCAAATGTATACAGTGTGAGTTCGGGGACACACACGTGCTCAGATGTCAAGGAGCAGCGGCTGCAACTGTGCACATAGATGTGCTTAAAATAAAAGAAACTAAAGAATAAAAAGCTTTGAATTTGAGAGACTGCTAGATTATGGTTTGAAACCTTGCTGTTATTTATGGAAGATGTAGTGCTTTTCCAGTATTATAAGGATTAACCGCTTGCCCTCTGCCCTATAGCAGAACTACTGCTACAGGGCAGCAGGGCTGCGCAAAATCGTGCGCACACACACGTATGTGTGATTTGCATTTTTGGGTAGGGCGAGAACGCGCAGCCCTACCTGCGCTGCCTTTGGCAGCTAGAGATGTCAATCACCGGATCCCGGCTGGCACTCTGCAGTCATCAGGGAAAGCTGACAGGGCGGAGACCTGTGTGTAAACAACACAGGTCTCTCTCCTATCAGCATGGGCATGCTTTTTTTGTGTCCCTCTATACAGCAGATACACAAAACAGCATGTCTCCCTAGTAAAACACAACACAGTGCACACAGTAAAACACACAGTTAACCCTTTGATCGCCCCAGATGTTACCCCTTCCTGCCCAGTGTCATTAGTACAATGTCTGTTTTTATTAGCACTGATCACTGTATTCATGTTACTGGGAATGTCAGTGGCAGTTCACACCCAGTGTCGGAATGCTTACTGCAGTCCCGCTATAAGTCGCTGATTGCCGCCATTACTAGTATAAAAAAAAATAAAATTTAAATTCCAGTATATATACCACCATTTGTAGACGCTATAACTTTCACGTATACCAATTTATTTACACAATTGGGATTTTTTTTTTTGCAAAGATGTGGCAGAATACGTTTTGGCCTAAATTTTATGAAGATTAAGACATTTTATTTTTTATATTGGATGTTTTATAGCAAAAAGTCAAAAATAGTGTTTTTTTTTTGTTTTTTTTTGTCTAGTGCAAAAAATTAAAAATGCAGGGGTGATCAAATATGACCAAAAGAAAGCTCTATTTGTGGGAAAAAATCACACAAATTTTAATTTATATACAGTGTTGCATGACCACACAATTGTCAGTTAAAGTAATGCAGTGCAAAAAATGGCTTGGTCAGGAAGGGGGGTAAATCCTCTGGAGGGCAAGTGGTTAAAATATTAATAAATATACACTATATTGCCAAAAGTATTGGGACGCCTGCCTTTACACGCACATGAACTTTAATGGCCTCCCGGTCTTCGTCCGTAGGGTTCAGTATTGAGTTGACCCACCCTTTGCAGCTAAAACAGCTTCAGCTCTTCTGGGAAGGCTGTCCACAAGGTTTAGGAGTGTGTCTATGTGAATGTTTGACCATTCTGCCAGAAGCATTTGTGAGGTCAGGCACTGATGTCAGACGAGAAGGCCTGGCTCACAGTCTCCACTCTAATTCATCCCAAAGGTGTTCTATGAGGTTGAGGTCAGGACTCTGTGCAGGCCAGTCCAATCTAGTTTCTCCACCCCAAACTCGCTCATCCATGACTTTATGGACCTTGCTTTGTGCACTGGTGCGCAGTCATGTTGGAACAGAAACTGTTCTCACAAAGTTGGGAGCATGAACTGTCCAAAATGTCTTGGTATGCTGAGTCCTTAAGAGTTCCCTTCACTGGAACTAAGGGGTCAAGCCCAACCCCTGAAACACAACCCCACACCATAATTCTCCCTCCACCAAACTTTACACTTGGCACAATGCAGTCAGGCAAGTACTGTTCTCCTGGCAACTGCCAAACACAGACAGTTCCATCGGATTGCCAGACAGAGAAGTGGGATTGTCACTCCAGAGAACACGTCTCTACTGCTCTAGAGTCCAGTGGCGGTGTTCTTTACACGAGTTCATCCGCCGAGTTGCATTGCACTTGGTGATGTAAGACTTCAGCAGCTGCTCAGCAATGGTAACCTATTTCATGAAGTTCTCTACGCACTGTTGTTGTGCTAATCTGAAGGCCACACGAAGTTTGGAGGTATTTAGCTATTGACTCTGCAGACAGTTGGTGACTTCTGCACACTGTATGCTTCAGCATGTGCTGACCCCCGCTTTATTTTATGTGGCCTACTGCTTTGTGGCAGAGTTGCTGTTCCCAGTTGCTTCCACTTTTTTTATAATACCACTAACAGTTGACGGTGGAATATTTAGTAGCAAGGAAATCTCACAGATGGACTTATTGCACACGTGGCAACCTATCATGGTACCATGTTTGAGATCACTGAGGGCGACCCATTCTGTACATTGCAGCGAAGGAGGCACTTTAACAGCAGTAGCCAGGAGGCTGCAGCTGGTAAAGTGATATACATAACTCTGGAAAAAAAAATTGTTAATTATTTTAGGCTGGTAAAGCATATCTAAACCAAAATGTAGGTTGCAGCTAACCCTTTAAGTAGTTTACAGTACCAGTGTTTTCCTTTTGTGATAAAGGTTTTAAATAAACGAATAAAGGCTGACCATTGTAAGCACCCTTGTCCTTATTAAATACTTTGTCTCAACCCTCTTGACTGCAGCTTTTGCTGGATAGTTTGGTTTGTTAGAGGAAGTTGAAAAATAGGACGTAGTGGCAGAATCAACAAGTAAAAATAAGGAGAAAAAGCCTGAGAAAAATGAATGCGCCACCACTTATAAGGGTACGAAAAGGGCAACATATTGCATTTTAATTTGGAGTTTAGATACATTTTAAGTGTAAATTTAAAAGGGTTTTTTTTGGAAATTATATCACAACTTATAAAAAAAAACTGAGGAAGGAAATGCTTTACCACAATGTTCCAAATAAAAGCATATGTCCTTAGAAACTATTTAAAATGTATGTGAGTAGGAAAATTAGTTGTAGAGTTAAAGTCAAGTAAACCAATGCATGCTAAACATGGTTTGGGCATCAAGGCATGACTGACCTCTGGTCACAAAAGGTTAAAGATGAGAAAACAGTAGAATAGAGTGAAGAACCAAAAATATTCTCTCCTTTTCTAATAAACTAAGTTTTTTTTTATATGCTTGTTATATATTAATATGTGTAATGATTTGAAAAATACAAAATGTGTATTCAAATATTTTTACAAGTCATTTGGGTTCCAATTAAAGTTGAGCTTTAATTAGAAAATGAAGTCCTGCTAGACTACTTCATGCTGGCCTCTTTTGCAAGTTCAGCTATGCAAAACATTAGAAAGAAGTGTGTGTATGTATATGTGTATGTGTGTATATGTGTGTGTGTATATGTATGTGTATGTATATATATATATATATATAAAATTTATTTATTTAATTCAGTAATACACTGTCTCATTCTGCTCTGGACATGCTCAATTGCTCTCTATTTTTCGGCACTGTTAAAAATGTAGAGGCCGATCTGCAGACAGCCTAAAGGACTGCTGCTCAGGGGCTCTTGGCTTTGGCAAAATGGCAGCCTTCAGCAAGAAGAAACTGGAACAATGCTAGAGACAATTTACAGCACACATTAATTTTGCTAGCATAATTATTAATGTGGAATGTGTGTTCCTTGCTAAAGAACATTATTTTTTATCAAGTTGTTATAGGTAAAATTCTTCTTTAATACTTTGTTTCATATTATGTTGTATTTTCCTTAATATTTATTTACTTTGTTTTTACTGCAGTTTATTGAAGGCTGTTTTGACGAATATTTGAAACGTCTAGAAAATCCACAGGTAGTATGAATGATATTGCAAAACTGCAGTTCAGCCCTAAATTGTAGAATGCGGTACTTTGCACTAACAGAAAATTCTCAGGTTTTCCATTGTTTTTAGTGTTGCAAAATGCAAATAAATGGCTTTAATAAGGTTTTTGCCATTTGATTTATACATCTTGCTTAAAGTTGAAAACCTCAGACTTCAAATATCACCAAAGCATATCGCTCTATAGTGTTTTGTTATCTCAATCCAGAGCACTCTTTCTGCTTGCTGCTTTGTTCCTCTGCTATAAGCATGAATCACTTCTGACAAATTTTCCTGAAACCAAGAGAAAAAGGGGAGGGCACAGCCTGTGATTGGCAGCCTCAGCTCTGTTCCTGTGTGCTGTGCAAAGTGGTTGTGTCCCTTCCCTCCAATCAGATCTCAGCGCTCTCATCAATGATACCTCAAATCCCCTGCCCCTGCTTTTCAGAGCTGAGAAATCCTGTATAAATTCTTTACTTTGAATGGATGTAGGGGACAGATGGCTGTATATAATCAGGTACAATTTATGTAGGAGGATTTGTTTTATCTGTGTTCATTCACTTCACTGGGTCTATGTAATAAGTATTTACAACCACTTTAAAGCTGAACTCCTGGTACAAAAACTTTCATTTGCTTTAACTGTATAACTCGGTAGCCACAAATGATACAAAACACACTTTGTGTGCACCAGATGTCTTTCCAAACCCATATATTACATAGTAAAATTACCAGTGCCATCATCACTATGCTGTGCATGGCCTGCACAGAGAGCAGGGCTGTGGTAGGGACCTAGAAGGTTCCACCCACTACAGGCTGCCTGCAGAAAACTACAGGAGGGAGCAGAGAAAAGAGCAGCAATGACCGGTCTTTATTACAGGACGATCCTGCACAGAGGCAAAGTTTCACACTGGATTACTGCACAGATCCAGAGGAAATAATCAGAGCACACCAAGATTCAAGGAAAAATACGCTATATTTGATTATTCCAGAGTTCAGCTTTAAAGTGGACCTAAAGCTCAATCACCTTCCTGAAATACGTTTCAGCTGAAGTCACTGATTAGTGGGGTAGAAAGTAACCTCAGTCTAATGATCCATGGGTGCTCAACCTGTGGCCCTCAAGCAGTTGTGGAACTACAAGTCCCATCATGCCTCTCTCATGCCTTTGGGAGTCATGCTTGTAACTGTCAGCCTAGCAATGCCTCATGGAACTTGTAGTTTTGTAACAGCTGGAAGACCACAGGTTGAGCACCCATTATTCATAGTGAAATCACACGCACACATATATATATACATATGTGTATTATGAAGGATATTAGTTGCATCAAAGCATATTAAGGATTTTGTGCACTTTGGCAATAGACTTTTTACTATATCCATAGGAGTATACAGGTGTGAGAGCTGAGTGGGTTAAATTGAACTTTGAAGAGATAATGATGTAATAGTTCTTAGTGTAAGATACCTATTTGTAGGTTTGCATATTTTCATATTTTGCTGAAAAACTTCTGGGAAGTTTTTAAGTATTTTTAAGTTTGAAGGTGAATTTGCTAGCTGTAGCAACTTTGAGCATATAGTAGAAGGGAATACAGGCGATCTAAGGCTTACTGAGCTGCCCATCTGCAGGTAGTTTTTGTTTCTGCCGTAAGCCTTACGTACTTTTCAGGAAAAATAGGGTTAAAGGGAGTCTTGAGTGAATTTTTTATTTTTATGTGTCTTCATTGGTACATGTAAGAAACAGAAAATGTTTGGCTTTTTGGTGGAAAACAGGGCACAGCAGAAAGATTTAAAGTCTCCTCTTTTTCTTTTTGCTCCTTCAGGAATGGGTTGGCCAAGTGGAAATAAGTGCCCTTTCTCTAATGTTCAAGTAAGTGGTTCTCAGTTGTACAAGCATATATTAAGATATTAAAATATTATTTTCTTTTCCATAGAAGAAAGAAATTCAGGAACTCTCAGGCTATATTGCCACCAACAAAGGGATTGGACACAATTTGCAGCCTTCCTAGTATGTCCCCTCCTATGTCCAAAATGCCTCAGGTTTTTTTTTTTTGCTAGGATCCTAACAGGATAGATATATTTTCTCTGGTAAACCTTTTATTTTCTTCACTCAAGATTCCTGCTGTATCACTGCTGCTCCCTATATGCAGCTATCCAGATTGGCCTTTCCTAAGTCTGGTTTTGGAGCGTCGTACTGGGACCCCACTGGTCTGGACGTTGTGGGGCTAGCCCGGAGTGTTACCTTCTGGCACTGAGCTATGATTTTTGCGCTTTACATACCTGCATGCACTTTTCCAGCTATCTGCGAGCAATGTCGAGGTTCAGAGTCATGACGATGCTCAGCCTTCAGTGCAGGCTGAGCATCAAGAGCCACCTGGTTATTAGGTCTGCTGGGGGTATAAAATATCTATATGCAGCGCTAGAACTAAAGTGATCAAAGTGCAAAAACCACAAAAGAATGAATTATGCGAAAGTTAAGTGAATAACAAATGTCAACAGAGTGACAAGTGAAATAGTGAATGGATCAGCATAAATAAAGTGAAAAAATAGTGAATATTATAGGCAATGTCACAATTAAAATAAAAAAAAAAAAATTCCTTGTAGCATATAAACACATATAGTCCAGTGATTTTAGTGAATGGATGAAAAAAATGCCTAAAATTTGATAAAGTTCAATTTCATAAAATCCAGTGCAGGTGACTTCTGTGGTGTAAGAAATGACGTATGCTTGCACTTACCAGAAGCGCAAGCTTAATGCACATATCAATATATCCAAAAGGGGACCCTGATGGTCATCATGGATCTGGTCATAACCTGGGGAAGTGGGGGGGGGCTTCAATGGCTCATACACACCAGACTCCAAACCATGCAGAATACCAATTCAGCACACAGGGACCAGGGTATAACTTCTCAGGTAAATCCAGCCGCTTTAATTCGCTTGGTACCAAAAGGTAAAACTCCACCTCAAAAATTGCGGCCACCAAAACAAGGATATACTGATAGTGTAGTATATTTATTTGGCAAAAGGGAACAATACATCCAGCACATATATATCCAAAAATAGAAAACCAAATGGTCGCCTATAGCAACACAGTTCTGCCAAACATATAGTATTAAACTGATAGTGTTTAGCCTACTGATCTGCTTCCAGGTTTTACTAAAAAGGTGTCCACAAGATTAATAAATAGTGCGCAAGCTGATATATAATAGCCACTCTCAGCTTCCCAATGTACAAAAAAGTGCTCGCAAGTGAATCCAGCTGTTATTAAAAGGTAGTTCTCAGCAACAGCGTTCTGCCAGGTATGCAGTGTAGTTCTACTGTTTCACAGCCCAATATTCAGCTTTCAAATATAATTTTAGTGGTGTCAGCAAACTAACAAAAATTATGCAGGTTCAAAGTGTACAGGGATGTGCTGACAGGTGAATCCAACTGCTCTGAACAAAATCCAAAATGGCCGCCGGACCCACGTGCGGCCTCGGTGGTGTGACAGCACGGCAAGGCACCTCGCTGACGCATTTCGTGTCAATACACGTCAAAGGGATAGCCTTGCCGCTGACGTCTGCCCTATTTATCGGCTCCTCCCACATGCGCACCGAGGATGCCGTATTGCAGATGTGCCTGTGCGTCACGGGTGCCATTTTAAGGAAACCCAGCAGGTCAGAGATTAATACAGGAACCGAGGGCAGCCAGAAAAACATATTCAAGCAATATTGAGACAACAAGGAGCCAAAAGCATATTAGAAATAACTGGATATATTAACTTAATGCCTAGTTATCTCATTAACTGCTTGCCGTCCAGCCACTGTAGAAAAAGGGCCACAAGGTGGCACCGCTGCGTAATATCACGTTTTAAAACATGATATTGCAAAACAGGTAGGGGGCGCACGCGATGCGTGCGACCGCCCCTACCCGTGCCGCTGATCGTGGCCGCGGGTGTCAATCACTGGGTCCCGGCCGCTCATTACCCGCTGGGTCTCGGCAATTGCCGGCAAACAGTGACACAGAGCACAGCTCTGCTCCCTGTCAGTTCCTAACGCACTGCTCCTGAGAGTGCAGTTTATCTCTCGGGATCAGTGTGTTCCTGTGAAGTACACCCCCCCCCCCGCCCACTAGTAAAACACTCCATTCACACAGTTAACCCTTTGATTGCCTAAAAAAGTTAACCCCTTCCTCCCCAGTGCCATTAGTACAGTGTCAGTGTTTTTTTTTTTTTTTGCACTGATCACTGTATTGGTGTCACTGGGGATGTCAGTGACCCCAAGTTAGTTCCCCCCCAGTGTCAAAATGTCCACCGCAGTCCCGCCATAAGTCGCTGATCACTGTCATAAATCGCTGATCGCCATTATTAGTATAAAAAAAAAATCCTAGTATCTTTCCCGCCATTTGTAGACGCTATAACTTTCACGTAAACCAATTAATTTACATGTATTGGGATTTTGTTTAGCAAAGATATGTCGCAGAATACATTTTGGCTGAAATTTATGACGAAATTTGATTTTTAAATTTTTTTACTGGACATGTTTTATAGCAAAAAGTCCAAAATATTTTTTTTTTCTCAAAATTGTAAGTCGAGAATTTTTTTTTTTTTTTATAGCGCAAAAAAGTAAAAACCGCACAGGCGATCAAATACCACCGAAAGAAAGCTCAATTCGTGGGAAAAAAGGACGTAAATTTAATTTGGGTGCAGTGTTGCATGACCGCGCATTTGTCAGTTAAAGTAACAGCGACGTAACACAAACCGCTTCTGTAACCGCCTCCTGACCGCCCTATAGCAGAAATACTGCTACAGGGCGGCATGGGTGTGAAAATCACATATATATACACACACATGATTTGCGCTCCCGTGGTTTCACGCCCCTCCCAGATAGCGTCAGATTGCCCATCAGTACACCAGTCATCACATTTAACCTCTTGATTGCCAGGAGCACGCTCATGCAAAATAAACCTCCATTGCTAGTATAGCGTCTGAACGGATCAATATCTTTGATCAGATCAGTACTATACCAGCGTTCATATTAGTATAGCGTCAACCAAAAATGCAGCGTTAGCGGGATTAGCCCTGGCACCTGCCAACACCTACGTTTAGCCCCTATGCTTACCCCCCCTTCTCCCCCAGCAAGTGCAGTGTCAGTAGGTCACTGTCACTTGATACATTGCACACAAAACCGCAGTGTTCGCAGAATCAGGCCTGATCTCTGTTAGCACTTGCCGGTAAATTTTGATGACTCTCATATGCAGCAGAGTGCCAGTACTAGTGCCGCGCTACCTTTTGGTGAACTGGCGAGTATCAGCGGTCTAGTACATCTTGGTCTTTCACATACCTCTTAGATTGTAAGCTCCCAAGATCAGGGCCCTCCTAACCTTCTTGTATTGAACTTTATTGTTGCTGTATTGTCTCCCATTATACTGTAAAGCGCTGAGCAAACTGTTGGCGCTATATAAATCCTGTATAATAATAATACCACCAGCACTGCAGTATGACTTGGTGACGTGGCGAGTGCCATAAGTCCAGTACAAACCGGTGCGGTGGCGAGCACAAGTATTGTCCCGCAGCCACCAAGTATTCGCACACAGGCCCATAGAGCTCCTAGTATCCTTCCGGATGTGCTTGCAAATCCCGATTGACAGCCCACAAATTCTGCAGCACCGTACTTCCCCCATTCACTGCCCAACCCGGAATTCAGGTGGAAATAGCAAATTTAACTAGTCCCCTAGATTTTTGGAGCTGTTTTTCACGGAATATCTGTAAGCGTTGATTGTGGATTAAAGCAATTTATATGCACAACAATTTATCGCCGCCAACCCAAATTCAAACCTTGCCAGACCAGTCGCATGGAAACTCATTACGGTTTCCGAATTTAAATTTTTTTTGGGCCTTACCCTCAACATGGGCATTACTAAAAGAAATGAATTGCGGTTGTATTGGTCCACAGACCCGATTCATCATAAGCCCGTGTTCTCTGCTGCCATGGCCAGGCATAGATATGAGAGTATAATGTGTTTTATGCATTTCAACGACAATACACTCTGTCATCCTTGGGGTGACCCTGAATTTGATTTGGCTCCACAAAATTTAACCCCTTGCAAATCACCTTAACCAAAAATTTGCAGATATCTATACTCCCCAGCAAAACATCTGTGTTGATGTGTCCCTTATTAATCTTTCTGGCCGCCTTGCATTCAAACAATTTCTCTCCAGCAAGTGTGCCAGATATGGGGTCAAGATGTAGAAGACCTGTGAGAGGGCAACAGGCTATACTTATAAGTTTCGGATTTACGAGAGAATAGATAGTCACGTGGAGCCCCCCAGATGTCCAAACTACATGGGGAGCAGTGGCAAGATAGTTTGGGACTTGGTGTCATCATTTTTCCATATGGGGTACCATTTATACGTGGACAATTTTTATTCAAGCGTGCCACTATTTAGACATTTGTACAATCTTGGAACTGGCGCATGTGGCAAAGTGTGACCTAATGTGTGCCCACCATTAGAAGTGGGTGGATGCTGCTCACACATGCCATGGGTATATGTGGAATTACTCCCCAAAATACATTCTGCTACTTCTCCCGAGTATGGGGGTACCACATGTGAGACACGTTATGGCAGTCTAGCCAAGCACAGGACCCCAAAATCCAATAAGCACCTTCAGGCTTTTAAAGGGCTTTATTTCCTCATTACACTTCCAGACTACCTATCACAGTTTCGGAGGCCCTGAAATGCCAGGATAGCACCTAACCCCTCCAAATGACCCCTTTTTGGAAAGTAGACACCCCAAGGAATTTGATAAGAAGCATAGTAAGTATTTTGCAGATCTCATTTGTTGCCACAAGTTTTTGTAAAATGAAGAAAAAAAACAAAAACATATTTTTGTCTATTCTTTTTTTATATTTCAAAACCTTGTGAGAAAAAATGAGATCCGGAAAATACTCACCATGCCTCTTTTGTTAAATTCCTTGGGGTGTCTACTTTCCAGAAAGGGGTCATTTGGGGGGGTTTGGTGCTATCCTAGCATGTCAGGGCCTTCGAAACTGTGATAGGTATTGAAGTGAAATGAGGACGTTACTTACCTTCAGGCTTTCATTGGACATTGGATTTCAGGCTTCTGTATGTGGCTAGGCTCCCAAAAAGTCTCACACATGTGCTATCCCCATACTCGGTAGAAGTAGCAGAATGTATTAGGTGTAATTCCACATATACCCATGGCTTGTGCGAGAAATAAATCATTGAAATGACAACTTTGTGTAAAAAAAAAAATGTTTTTGTAATTTTCCAGAAACTTGTAGAAAAAAAAAATAAATCTTACATGGACTCAATATGCCTCTCAGCAGATAGCTTAGGGTGTCTACTTTCCAAAAAGGGGTCATTTGATGGTGTTTGTACTATCCTGGTATTTTAGCACCTCAAGAAATGTGATGAGCAGTCAGAAAGTAAAAGCTCTGTAAATTCCATTATCTATGCCATAGTTTGTAGATGCTATAACTTTCACACAAAGCAATAAATATACACTTACTGGGATTTTTTTTCAACCAAAAACATGTAGCAGAATACATTTTGGCCTAAATTTATGACGAAATTTTTCTAAAATTTTTTGTTTATAGCGCCAAAAATAAAAAGTGCACAGGTGATCAAATACCACCAAAAGAAAGCTCTATTTGTGTGGAAAAAAAGGACATAAATTTCATTTATGTACCGTATTGCATGACTGCAGTTGTCCGTTAAACTAGCGCAGTGCTGTATAGCAAAAAAATGGCGTAAATTGCAGTATCTATACCATAGTTTGTAGACGCTATAACTTTCACATAAAGCAATCAATATACACTTATTGGGATTTTTTTTTTTTAGCAAAAACATGTAGCAGAATACATTTTGGCCTAAATTTCTAACTAACTTTGAGTTTACTATATATTTTTTATAGCCGAAAATAAAAAATATTGTTTTTCTTCAAAATTTTTGGTATTTTTTTTTTATAGCGTGAAAAATAAAAAGCGCACAGGTGATCAAATACCACCAAAAGAAAGCTCTATTTGTGTGAAAAAAAAGTAAATTTCGTTTGGGTGCAGCATTGTATAACTGCGCAATTATCAGTTGAATTAGTGCAGCTCCGAGTAGCAAAAAGAGGCCTGGTCATTAAGGGGGGTAAATCCTCAGGAGGGCAAGTGGTGCAAGGAATATTTGATATTTAATAAATTATGTATGTTCAAATGACGGCCGTCATTTTGTTGTTGCCCAAACTATCAATAAACATCACAAGGTTATTATACAATTAAAACGCAACCGTTTTAATATGGATGTCATATATGCTAATAAGCCTCAGTAACAGACAAAATTAAATAAGAAAAATAATATATATATATATATATATATATATATATATATATATATAAAATTATATTAAAAAATGTAATCTTTAATGGTAAAAAAATATCTCTGATATATAAAAAAAATTCATGAATTGAAATAAATGAACTAAAATAAAAATGAGACTAATAACTCATTTAAACAAGTTATGAACATAAACCTCATTTCTTATACCACAGAAGTCACCTGCACTGGATTTTATGAAATTTAACTTTTTATCGAATTTTAGGCATTTTTTTTCATCCATTCTCTAAATCACTGGACTATGTGTGTTTATATGCTACAAGGAATTTTTAATTTTTATTTTAATTGTGACATTGCCTATAATATTCACTATTATTTTGTCACTTTATGCTAATCCATTCACTATTTCACTTGTCACTCTGTTGACATTTGTTATTCACTTAACTTAAACATGTCTCAACTGTGGGGTTTTACACCCCCAAACTGCAAATGTGTCCTTAGTGTCCTGAGCCCCCCCCTATAAATCTGGTTTCACACTGATGCGCTGCAGTTTACCCGCAAAGCGGGTGCAGTGCACTGCACCTGCGGGTTAGCTGCGCTTTTCCATAGAGTTTTATTATATATCTTGTAGGCGTTGTGCACTTTCTGAAAGTGCACCAAAATTCCTGCATTCAGTTTGAAGTCGAGGGCCACATGTTGAGCACCCCTGCCGTATGCTTTTATGAATGCCAGCTGCTGCCATACATCAAACTAATATTAGGAGCAAAGTAATTATAAAAGTTAATTTATTCTTTAGTATCATTTTTTAATTTTGACTAGTTGTACCCCCAAACATTTGCATGTTTTATCTTTATTGTGAAGTGTTTATTTTGTGTTTGAAAAAAAGTAATTTTTCAATTGTTTTTCGCTTAAAGAAAAGAATTTGTAATTTACCAAGAGCCGGATGTCGCTCCTTCTCATGTCACTGATAACGGCTTCACTGAAGAGGTTTGTTGAGTTTTCTCTTCCCATTATTTGAAGTTAATTGAAGGACAGTTTCATGCTTGAAATTATTTGTTTTGGCCAAGCTGACCCAAACAATTTCCAATATATTACTATTTTGCTTCTGTATGCTCTGTATGATACTGTTGTAGCATTAACTACATACAGTATGCAGCTTTGTGCAGCAGTACGGGCGACATCCTGTCACTGCTGGAGCAATATCTAGTTGGCCTGAATGCTTCTTGTCTTTGAGAAGCCTTGTATTTTTTTTATTGGTGATCGAGAACTGCTGTGTTTTTAATCGATGAATACAAGGATTCCTCTGATTGGCTGGGGATGATGTAGTAGCATTGGCTAATGCTACTACAGTATTATACAGCACTCGGAGCAGTTGCATAGTAATATAATGGAAATAGTTTGTTTCGGTCAAATGAAAGCTGGGATTCTACTTTAAGCTCCCTGGTGGTCTGATTATGTCAATATTTTTGAATGTCAAAGCGGTACATTGTTTTGCATGGAAATTTGTTTTATATTGTAGGCCTGTAATTCTTAGAAATAACTCGCTTAAATTTGTCCAAACAAGAGTCTAGTAAACAGCCTGGGTATGATAAAGTTTGAAACATGAAATCATAACTATAACTATAAAAAATAATATAATAATACATTTAATTCAAAAATGTAATCAAACCAAAAACACTGAAATTTGAAATGGAGCACCAAGTTTGCACATCACTGAGCTCAGTCGCAGAATCGTTGCTGTCGTCACTTTCAGTGCCTGATGATGAATTTCCCCACAAATCACTATTGCTCAATTCTGCAAGTGATTGTAATTCACTATCGCTGTTTTCTAGCTGTTCTAAAACCATTTTTAACCTAAAGGGACACTTTTTGGATGCCATGGACTTTGTCCAGTTTCCAGGCAGAAAGAATGTTAAAAGTGTAGGCAGGGCACAGGACAAAGCTCTAGGGGCAAAACGGAGGTGAAATGGTTTGATAAAGTAATCCTAACAGATTACAATGTATTGTGTGTGTGTGTGTCATGTTTTTACTCTTTTGAATCTCCCGCCGGTTCCGCTCCCCTGCGTTGCGACGCTCGCAGGGAAGGGAACCCGGAAAATGGATGCTGGCATCGGCTGGAGGATACAGTGGGAGGACATCGGGGGATCGCAGGACAAGGTAAGTTATACTACAGTGTAATCCTGAGTGTGGCTCGGGGTTACCGCTTTAGGTACTGAAAATTAACCCTGAACCACACTCGGGATTACCGCCAGGGAGGTTAAAGATCCTATTCTTTTTATTCTTTTACTGTTGTGTCTCCTATGGGACAAATTAGTTTTTACCATGTTGCTAAGTGCTTTCCAAATCTAGTTATGAGGTCTGACCTGCCCCCTCCTTACCCTCCTGCCATGGCCAATCCAACGACAACTAGGAAGGTGACAACCGCTTTATAATGGCAGCTTGTCTCAGCTCTTTCCACAGACAAGCAACAGGAATGCAGAGGGAGGGCGGACTTGTCAGCATCTGCATTATTTTACATGTACTTTGTCCCATAGAGATGGAATAGTAAAAAAAAAAAAAAATGTAATGGTAAATCGTCTTTAACTAAATATAATAGAATTGACATTAATTATATTCTGAAATAAATGTATTAACCACTTGCAGACCAGCTACTTACACCTGGATGAAGCTGGCAATTCCACAGGCTGACCATAGAGCTGATTGGAAACCGGAATTTCTATCATCTCTATGGTCTCAGAAACCAAAAACGATGAGCATTTCATTACTTAAGGTTTCGCGGTTTGCGAAAAAAACCATTTTAAGCGTCCCCGTCCTCCATGCTTGTACACAAATACGTAAATAGCAATTGCACATTAGGTATCAGATTGAGGGCAATAATTCTATTTCCATACCACCTATGTAAATATAAAGTGCTTAGCCCTAAAGAAGGGTGTATACCTCCGAAACACGTCAACTTGCCAGCCTAGGGGAGTCATTTCTTGGGCTATGAGATTCCTGCACTGTACCGTGTCTCGTGGTTTTAATGCTTTTGTACCTTTTACTTTTCTAAGTACTCATTTTATCATCTTCCACATCAAATCTCTCTTAATGCCCTAGGTGTTTGCCCTCCTGTGTGTTTTTATCTACTGGTCTTAAAGTGGTTAAAATGTTAATTATCCAGAAATTACTGTTAACTGTTACTGTTTTGTATTTTAGATAATGCTGTGTTTTTCTAATGGAAATCATTATGACATCATTTACCCTTCTGGATATGCTGAAAATGCTGCGTTGTGCCAATGTAAGTAAACTACTCCATAAAGACATTTTATCAATGTTTGATGCTGCTGTTTGTTGGCAGCACCAATCTCACACACACTGGCAGCTTACTTTGCTAGTTCTTTTCACCAGTTATTCATATACAGTGGGGCAAAAAAGTATTTAGTCAGCCACCAATTGTGCAAGTTCTCCCACTTAAAAAGATGAGAGAGGCCTGTAATTGGCATCATAGGTAGACCTCAACTATGAGAGACAAAATGAGAAAACAAATCCAGACAATCACATTGGCTGATTTGGAAAGAATTTATTTGCAAATTATGGTGGAAAATAAGTATTTGGTCAATATCAAAAGTTCATCTCAATACTTTGTTATATATCCTTTGTTGGCAATGACAGAGGTCAAACGTTTCCTGTAAGTCTTCACAAGGTTGGCACACACTGTTGCTGGTATGTTGGCCCATTCCTCCATGCAGATCTCCTCTAGAGCAGTGATGTTTTGGAGCTGTCGCTGGGCAACACGGACTTTCAACTCCCTCCAAAGGTTTTCTATGGGGTTGAGATCTGGAGACTGGCTAGGCCACTCCAGGACCTTGAAATCCTTCTTACGAAGTCACTCCTTTGTTGCCACGTTTCATCTTCAATGCCCTTGCTGATGGAAGGAGGTTTGCACTCAAAATCTCACGATACATGGCCCCATTCATTCTGTCCTGTACATGGATCAGTCGTCCTGGTCCCTTTGTGGAGAAGAAACAGCCCCAAAGCATGATGTTGCCACCCCTATGCTTCACAGTAGGTATGGTGTTCTTTGGATGCAACTCAGCATTCTCTCTCCTCCAAACATAACGAGTTGTGTTTCTACCAAACAGTTCTATTTTGGTTTCATCTGACCATATGACATTCTCCCAATCCTCTTCTGGATCATCCAAATGCTCTCTAGCAAACTTCAGACGGGACCGGACATGTCCTGGCTTAAGCAGGGGGACACGTATGGCACTGCAGGATCTGAGTCCCTGGCGGCGTAGTGTGTTGATGGTCCCTGCTCTCTGCAGGTCATTCACTAGGTCCCCCCGTGTGGTCCTGGGATTTTTGCTCACCGTTCTTGTGATCATTTTGACCCCACGTGGTGAGATCTTGCGTGGAGCCCCAGATCGAGGGAGATTATCAGTGGTCTTGTATGTCTTCCATTTTCTAATTATTGCTCCCACAGTTGATTTGTTCACACCAAGCTGCTTGCCTATTGCAGATTCAGTCTTCCCAGCCTGGTGCAGGTCTACAATTTTGTTTCTGGTGTCCTTCAACAGCTCTTTGGTCTTCACCATAGTGGAGTTTGGAGTGTGACTGTTTGAAGTTGTGGACAGGTGTCTTTTATACTGATAAGTTCAAACAGGTGCCATTGATACAGGTAATGAGTGCAGGACATAGGAACCTCTTAAGAAGGTACAGGTCTGTGAGAGCCAGAAATCTTGCTTGTTTGTAGGTGACCAAATACTTATTTTCCACCATAATGTGCAAATAAATTCTTTCCAAATCAGCCAATGTGATTGTCTGGATTTTTTTTCTCATTTTGTCTCTCATAGTTGAGGTCTACCTATGATGCCAATTACAGGCCTCTCTCATCTTTTTAAGTGGGAGCACTTGCACAATTGGTGGCTGACTAAATACTTTTTTGCCCCACTGTAGCTATTTTGCCATCTAGGTTTCCTCTATGCCAGTACATACACTTGCCGTGAGTGACTAAGCAATATTTGTGCAGCATGTCAATAAATGTGGCTTACATAATTGTTGGAGAGGCTATCCTCCTAACTTCTGCTTTAGGCTTCTAGTACATTGAACATGCAATAGGGTTCTATTGGCTTTAAGGAACTTACTCCATAAATGTAATAGGAAATTATTCTCCTCAATTGACTATTGAATGTGAGAGTATAACTTCTATAATTTACATTGCAACACTAACGAGCTGTTTTTTTTTGTTTGTTTGTTTTTTTTTTTATAAATCTTTTTAGTTATTTGTTGTACATTAGAAGTTCACTTTAAGATATCAATTTCAGTTTATTTAATGAAGACAGATTATACTTGTGTAGGAACAATAGTTTACCTTCATATGTTCAGCTCTCCTGCCAACCAGTCAGCGACATTATAAAGTTAGCAAATACATCCAGGGAGTCCAAACCTTTTCAAAGCGCCTTTGTTTATCCTGCAATATCCTGACAATTCTCTCATTAGGCATTATGCAGGTAGATTACATTTTGGCCACAGATAAATCTACCACTCAGCATTTCAAAGCTGTGGCTATGGCTATAAATATTCCTTGTAATTTTTGAATAAAAGGCAAAATTGTTTGAATTGGTTACCCTTTATTTGGCATTATACCCAAGTATTAGCATTCCCTGATCGGTGCATTTTCCATATTAAATATACTCATATTTAGAAAGTACACCAATATCCTGACCAATTTTTACAATATTACAATTATACACATAAATATTACGTTTCCCTTTTTTGCAGCTATAATTTATGAGTTGCTTTATGAAAAAGTGTTTGGGGTCAGCGTGACAAAAAATATGTTGAAAACAGAAGCATTTGACTGGAAAGCTGAGGTCTTTGATAGTGATGCTTCAGGATCTGATGGAGAAGATGATGCAGCTGGGTATGATCAACTGTAAAAGAATTGCATATAACTTTCTTTTTTGTAATCCATGATGGTTTAAATAAACATAAATTAGAATTTCAGAAACCCTATGAGAATAAGAAATCAAAACTTCTAAATATAGATTTGTAGCATGTGGTACAAATTTTTTTTCACAGTGCCCATTGTGTTTGTTTTTTTTTTTTAGAATCTAATAGTATTAACCACATGCCGCCTAGCCACTGTAGAAATACGTTGGCAGGGCGGCACGGCTGGGCAAAACCACGTTTTAAAACGTGTTTGCAAAACAGGTAGGGGGCGCACTACCTGTCCCGCCGATCACGGCCGTGGATGTCAGTCGTCGGGTCACAGCCGGTCATTAGCAGCAATCACTGACAGAGCAGGGCTGCAGTAGCTCTACTTTCTGTCAGTTCCCTGTCAGCTCCTGACATGCTGAGCTAGAGAGAAGAGTTTATCTCTCCCGATCAGCTGTTCCCGTGCAGTACACACCCCCGCCCCCTAGTAAAACACTCCCCTCACACAGCTAACCTTTTCAGTAAATAAAATTAACCCCTTTCTCCCCAGTGCCATTAGTATAGTGTCAGTGTTTTTTTTTTTTTTTTTTTTTTTTGCACTCATCACTGTATTGGTGTCACTGGGGATGTCCGTGACCCCAAGTCAGTTCCCCCCCAGTGTCAGAATGTCTGCCGCAGTCCCGCCGTAAGTCGCTGATCGCTGCCATAAGTCGCTGATCGCCGCCATTATTAGTATAAAAAAAAATTAAAAATCCCAGTATCTTTACCGCCATTTGTAAACGCTATAACTTTCACGTAAACCAATTAACTGGTGTTTTTTTTTTTTTTTTTTTTTTTTTTTTTTTTTTTTTTTTTTTTTTAGCAAAGACATGTCGCAGAATGCATTTTGGCCGAAATTTATGACAAATTTGATTTTTACATTTTTTTTTTTACTGTACATGTTTTATAGCAAAAAGTCCAAAATATTTTTTTTTTTTCTCAAAATTGTCAGCATTTTTTTTTTTATAGCGCATAAAAAAAAACCGCACAGGCGATCAAATACCACCAAAAGAAAGCTCTATTGTGTGAAAAAAAAACATTTCATTTATGTACCGTATTGCATGACCGCACAATTGTCTGTTAAACTAGCGCAGCGCTGTATAGCAAAAAAATGGCGTAAATTGCAGTATCTATACCATAGTTTGTAGACGCTATAACTTTCACACAAAGCAATCAATATACACTTATTGGGATTTTTTTTTACCAAAAATATGTAGCAGAATACATTTTGGCCTAAATTTATAACTAACTTTGAGTTTACTATATATTTTTATAGCTGAAAGTAAAAAATATCATTTTTCTTCAAAACTTTTGGTCTTTTTTTGTTTATAGCGTGAAAAATAAAAAGCGCACAGGTGATCAAATACCACTGAAAGAAAGCTCTATTTGTGTGAAAAAAAGGACGTAAAGTTCGTTTTAGTGCAGCATTGCATGACCGTGCAATTATCAGTTGAATTAGTGCAGTGCCGAGTAGCAAAAAGAAGCCTGGTCATTAAGGGGGATTTACCCCTCAGGAGGGCAAGTAGTTAAACAAATCTATTATCAATCTATATTCAGGAGTTACTGTTTACTAACACAGAATACTTCACTATGTGTTTCACAACAGTCAGTGTATCTACATCTTTTTTTTTTTTTAAGTTTTGGATGAACATGGGAATGGTTAGACCCCCTGTCAGGTTTTCCTGGTTTCCGCTCACTGACTGTTCTGGGGACAGCATTTTACCAGACAAGGAATGAGGGAAAATCTACAACAGTGAAACCAATAATAAAATGCTGATCGAGGTTCTCGAGTTCCCCTACTTAAAAAATAAATAAAAACTTAATTACTTCTCTCTCTGTTGCTGTTGGAGAGATTTCCCCTCACTTTCTGTCCTGAAGATAGCTCTTTTACCAGGCAGGGAGTGAAAGAACCCCTCTAACTAAGCATCCAATGGCAGTAAATCCTGACTGATTCAAATCCTTCCACACTGTATCCAACACTTAAAAAATGTTTTGGGCATAAACCAGCCCAAGTGGGCTTAAATAAAATTTTTAATTGAAAGGGCTACATTGTTACAATTATGCAGGCATAGCGGAGAGAGGCTTTTTTTTGTTTTTTTTTAATCTCTCTGTAAAATGAAATAATATCCCAAGACCAGCCATGCTAGGGTCCTAAGAGGACGGATGTCCTTTAATGGGAAGCATTTAAACAGCTTTTGCTTGATTTTATGCTTTGATTTTTCCTCAGCCTGACTTTGGCATGCCATATCTGGACCTCATTAGATTGGTCATTTTGGCTCTAGGCTGGAAGTGACTTTCAGGTACTGGGCTCAACTTCTGGCCTTTTGAAGACACCAAGTGCTGCTAAAATGTAGTTCTTTCTAGGTCCAGAGCTGTTGGCATTGCTTCAGTGCTTATCATGTCTCTTAAGATTCATTTGATTTAGTAGGTAATGTGGGCTGAGCAATGGGACCTTGGTCACCTCCAGTCATTGGACATTCATCAGCTCCCAGCTGACTGGGTTTGTGAGTACCAGAGACCTTGCCTCATGCCTTGAGCCTTGTTGCTTCGCTACATGGTCACAGAATACTACGACTGATCCCCGTTCCACACTCTGATTCTGGAGACACTTGCTCTGTATCCTCCTGTGGACATTGCTGTCTGTTACCTGGAATCCAGTGACCCTTAGAATATTGGGTCTACTTCCTCAGAGTCTCCACCAGCTGAGTTCTTTAAAGCTGAGTCCCCTACCCTGTTGTCAGGGGTCTGGTTGGTACTGCAGTCAAACTCACCCAGTTTGTTACAGGTACCGACTGCAGAGGCTCTAAGTGCACTCCTGTGCCATGCCCTGCAGAGTCGATCTCTGATCTCTCCAAAGGCGTTAGAACTGGCTGGACCACCGGTCACAAAAACCCATGCCGGACTTCCACAGTCTCGCTCTTATTTTGGTGGCACTGCAATCTCCTGCCATCACCTCAGAATTACCAGAGGTTGTGTTGGCTGTTATAGATGCAGTATGCACTGCTTTTATATTTGGGAGATCAGCCTGCTGTGTTCAGCCTTGGGTCATTCAGAGCTCCTATGGTTGCAAAGGCCTTTCCTCTATACTAAGGATATTGAATTAAAATTAATGGAGGTCCAGTCAGTGAAATTTTCTTCCAGCAGAGGGCTGAATTACATGTTTGTGCAATGTCTCAGATACTTCCCATCACAGACCCTGCATTTTATATCACAATCCTATTCTTACACCAGTGTCTTCACCAGCAACCAATCACCTGCTAGTTAATCTGGAAAGTTAACTCATGAAGCTCCCGCCCTCCTTCCATTGCGGCTGTGCCTAATCTCCGTGCATTGCAATCCTACCTCCTGCTCTCCGCACTACCTTCAGAATGACAGCTGCAAAGGTCAGGGGGAAGGAAGGCTCATAAATGGCACGACCGTGGGTCTGGATGGGACAGTGGCTCGGTCCGGATGTGGTCAACCATTTAGTGATGCTTGCTCTACTCACGATCGAGGTCTTCCCTATGCAGTATGGAAGTACTTTGTATGGTCCTGGGCCCCAACTTAGTACTTTAAAACTGTTCTCCTTTGAGAGAAAGTTTGTTAAAATGTGGTCTATACTGACTGTGGATCTACAAGTGACCAGAAGAGGATGTGCTTACCTTTTAAGGATTCTGGTCACCAGCAGTTGGAATCTCTCCTTACACCCAGGTTTTGGTGTTTGCAGTCTTTGCCATTCCTCCAGTATTTGTTGTAATCCTAAACTGTCAAACCATGGCAAAATGGGTTATATTCCTTAAAAAAAGGATGTTTCCACTGCTGGAGTCAACCCTTTCCCAATAAAGCTTGTGGAGCAGAAGTCTGGAGCTTTACGTTTCAGTTGTGCTGGCTTGTTAGAAGTGTTTAAATCTGTGTCCCATATGGATCCCATGACCATACAGATGCCCAGAGCACTCTGGGTAATGTGGGGGGGACTCAAATTCTGTTTCAGAGGACCACCTGACTTGGGATACAGAGTCTTCTATCCAACTCTGGTACCATAATAAAGGATATCACAGGAGGCCTTATTTTTTTGACTCCGCATAAGACGTCCAAGGAAAGGTCAGCTGAGTCCCAGCTTTCCTTTCTATTTGTTTTCGGAGGGAGTACAACCATGCCTGTTGAGCCTGATTCTCTGTCATACCTCAGGACGGGAAGCAAAAAACCTTTTAAGCCCTCAGAGCAGCCCCCGCTGTTCATGAATGTGCACTCCCCACTTTTCCAATTGGGGGCATGGTTGCTAATCCTTGGGTAGTTTGCTCTTCAGGCATGTAGGTGTAGAGTGCACCTCTCTAGACTGACTCACAGGCCAACACCTTGCCTCTGGCACTCTCTTCAGCTGCTCACCATCTACACCCCCTCCCCCTCCCTCCCTCTCTTTGCCACTGCATGGAATATCAGACCTTTCCCTATCTCTGTGGATAATTCACAACCCAGAGTCCTGGCTCCAGTTGCTGTGACAGTTCGATCTCTATTCCCATCCTAGGCACCACACTCCCATCTCATAGTAACTTGCTTCTTTTGGTGCATGTGAGGTAATCTGTGGAAGGGATTTTGGGGATATGTGTCCTCAGTATCACCCTCGCACACCTAATAATTCTCTGTGTTGATGCCTGTGTCTGACCTTTTGCCTTTTCTTGGTACCCACAATTGTAAGACACTCAAATGGACCCTTGAGAAGAGAGCAGCTACTGAGGGCTGTAGCAGGCATCATGCCTCTGAAGGGTTTAACACCTGTAAGATCCATCCAGGTCTGGCTTCTCCAGGGTGCAGTATAGGAACTTCTCCATGACCTGTAGGCAATGTACACCAACTTAGTTCCTTATTCGAAGGCTTCCCAGCATTTTTTGTGTTCTCAAACCTTGTAATTTGATAACGATTACCTTTTTTTTTTTTCCTTCCTTGCGGGAACCTCGTGCTTGTGTACCGTCCAGTGAGAGTTTGCTGGAGAACTATTATCCTTGGGGCTGTTTTCTGGCATTCCAGAATAGGTGGTTCCTTAGATCTGCTAGCACAGACAGGATGGGACACCATCTAGGTCCTGATTTTTCACATTGTTCTAGAAAGAATAAGAGTGGTAGCCTGGTTCCGGCTGTGGGCGGTACGTGATCTTCACTCTATGCCCACGCTGATCCCTTTTAGAGTGATCCCCTGGAAACCAGTTCTTCCCTACTGGTAGCTTCTGGACAGGGAGATGAGTTTCTCACATCCAAGTGCATCTCAGCCCTGCTTTGTTGATAAAGGAGGTAAGCCCTCTGTCTCCTTGGGCTGGGTGGAACAAACTAGACCTGTTGCAGGTATCCGCTCTCAGGAATAGGGGTTCCCTGAGGACTCTGTGGGACCTGCTCACCTGGAGTTAGGCCCCTCTCCCTTGGCTGATCTGCAGATATGCACATCAAATCAATAAAACAATACATACAGTATATCATAGTGAAAACAAAACGCAAGTTAATTCAGTGACCATTAGGCTACATTCATACTTGCGAATGTGCCTGGCAACGTTTACATGTGAGAACCCCAGTGGAGGTTTCCGGATATTAGCTGCAGGAGGCAGCTGCATTGAAAGCAATGGGAGCTTGCCTGTTCCCTCAGCCAATTGTGGCTGCTCGCATGTAATCACTATGCAGTCATCACCTGCGAGTGTTCATCCCTGTCTGCGTCCAGGGTTGATCACTTACAGGTGATTCAGTGCGAGCAGCTGTGATTAATTGTTCTAACTGGCAGCCTCCCATTACTTTCAATAAGGCATCAGGTTGCCGGGAACTCCTTGGGTTCTCACATGTAAATGCTATTGAGCCCACTTGCAGTTTATTAATATTAGTAAATTTAAATCAAAGAAAATGCATAGCAATATCTGTGTTCATTTGAAGCAGAAATGTTTAAAAGAATAAACTCTTATAAAGTGTTGGTGTGTCACACCATTAGTGCATTCCCAGTGGCTCAGAATAATTAACCAGATTTGTTTGACTCACTAGAAGATGGTCACACAGGGCTGTATAATGATGCTAGATAAGCAGGAAGGGGCATTACTTCTAGTTCCTTTATTATTTCCTCATTCCTTTCATGTTTCTATCTGATCTCACCAGTTATGGTCAGGTTCTATAATTTCTTTCCTGCCTCTGTTTGTTGGGGTGTTTCCATGCACCTACCCCTACATTCTTGCTGACTTTGTTGGATCAAATCCTGCGTTCTCTTCAGGTACACCCCTCACATTTTTGTAAATATTTTATTATATCTTTTCATGTGACAACACTGAAGAAATGACACTTTGCTACAATGTAAAGTAGTGAGTGTACAGCTTGTAAAACAGTGTAAATTTGCTGTCTCCTCAAAATAACTTAACACACAGCCATTAATGTCTAAACCGCTGGCAACAAAAGTGAGTACAACCCTAAGTGAAAATGTCTAAATTGGGCCCAATTATCCATTTTCCCTCCCCGGTGTCATGTGACTTGTTAGTGTTACAATGTCTCAGGTGTGAATAGGGAGCAGGTGTGTTAAATTTGGTGTTAACGCTCTCACTCTCTCATACTGGTCACTGGAGGTTCAATATGGAACCTCATGGCAAAGAACTCTGAGGATCTGAAAAAAAGAATTGTTGCTCTACATAAAGATGGCCTAGGCTTTAAGAAGATTGCCAAGACCCTGAAACTCAACTGCAGCACGGTGGCCAAGACCATGTAGTGGTTTAACAGGACAGGCTCCACTCAGAACAGGCCTCGCCATGGTCGACCAAAGGAGTTGAGTGCACGTGCTCAGCATCATACCCAGAGTTTGTATTTGGGAAATAGATGTATCAGCGCTGCCAGCATTGATGCAGAGGTTAGTCACTGCATCAAATTGGTCTGCATGGCTGTCGTCCCAGAAGGAAGCCTCTTCTAAAGATGATGCACAAGAACAGCCTGCAAACAGTTTGCTAAAGACAAGCAGACTAAGGGCATGGATTACTGGAACCATGTCTTGTGGTCTGAAGAGACGAAAATGAACTTATTTTGGTTCAGATGGTGTCAAGTGTGTATAGCGGCAACCAGGTGAGGAGTACAAAGACAAGTGTGTCTTGCCTAAAGTCAAGCATGGTGGTGGGAGTGTCATGGTCTGAGGCTGCATGAGTGCTGCCTGCACTGGGGAGCTACAGTTCATTGAGGGAACCATGAATGCCAACATGTACTGTGACATACTGAAGCAGAGCATGATCCCCTCCCTTCGGAGACTGGGCCGCAGGGCAGTATTCCAACAAGATAACGACCCCCAAACACACCTCCAAGACGACCACTGCCTTGCTAAAGAAGCTGAGGGTAAAGGTGATGGATTGGACAAACATGTCTTCAGACCTAAACCCTATTGAGCATCTGTGGTGCATCCTCAAATGGAAAGCGGAGGAGCGCAAGGTCTCTTAACATCCACGAGCTCCATGATGTCGTCATGGAGGAGTGGAAGAGGACTCCAGTGGTAACCTGTGAATCTCTGGAGAACTCCATGTCTAAGAGGGTTAAGGCAGTGCTGGAAAATAATAGAGGCTACCCAAAATATTGATACTTTGGGCCCAATTTGGACATTTTCACTTTTGTTGCCAGCGGTTTAGACATTAATGACTGTTATTTTGAGGGGACAGCAAATTTACACTGTTATACAAGCTGTACACTCACTACTTTACATTGTAGCAAAGTGTCAATTCTTCAGTGTTGTCACATGAAAAGATAGAATAAAATATTGGACTCCTGTCTTTACATGCACATGAACTTTATTGGCATCCCAGTCTTAGTCTGCAAGGTTCAATATTGAGTGCCCCCCCCCCCCCCCCCCCCCCCCCCCCCCCCCCCCCCCCCCCCCCCCCCCCCCCCCCCCTGCAGCTACAACAGCTTCAACTCTTCTGGGAAGGCTGTCCACAAGGTTTAGGAGTGTGTCTGTGGGAATGTTTGACCATTCTTCCAGCGCATTTGTGAGGTCAGGAACTGATATCTGCTAGGAAAGCCTGGCTCGCAGTCTCCGCTTGAATTCATCCCAAAGGTGTTCTATCGGGTTGAGGTCAGGACTCTGTGCAGGCCAGTCAAGTTTCTCCACCTCAAACTTGCTCATCCATGACTTTATGGACCTTGCTTTGTGCACTGGTGCGCAGTCATGTTGGAACAGGAAGGCGCCATCCCCAAACTGTGCCCACATGGGAGCATGAGATTGTCCAAAATGTCTTGGTATGCTGAGTCCTTAACAGTTCCCTTCACTGGAACTAAGGGACCAAGCCCAAACCCTGAAAAACAAGCCCACACCATAATCCCCCTCCACCAAACTTTGGTGGACGTTTGGGGGTCTTTAGCTATTGACTCTGCCAGCAGTTGGTGACTTCTGCGCACGGTGCGCTTCAGCATGTGCTGACCCCGCTCTGTCATTTTACATAGCCAGCCACTTTGTGGCAGAATTGCTGTTGTTTCCAGTTCCTTCCACTTTGTTATAATGCCACTTACCAGTTGACTTTGGAATATTTAGTAGCAAGGAAATTTCACGGTTGGGCTTTATTGCACAGGTGGCAACCTATCATGGTAGCATGAATTCACTGTGCTGGTGAAGGCGACCCTTTCTTTCACAAGTGTTTGTAGAAGCAGTCTGCATGTCTAGGTGCTTGATTTAATACACCTGTGGCCATAAAGGTGATTGGAACACCTGAATCCAATGATTTGGAGGGGTGTCCCAATACTTACAATAAAGTATACATTTCCCTAATAATTTTATTTATATTTAGGTTCTTCGTAGCAAGAGTTATAACTATATTATGGTTTTCCTCTACTTACAGAGAAAATAATTTTGTTGGTGTGAATGGATTTAAATCTCACAAGGATGGAAAGGTATGCTTCAGATGTGCTGCTGTACAGTATTTTACAACGCTACGGTTTACCCTTTATAAACTATTTTTGGTACTTTGTAGCCTCCACAGATGAAGGAAAGTCATTCAATGGTGTCAACAGCTGCCCTTCGATCAATTAATCCAGCAATTTTCAGAAATGTGGAGTATGAGGTCTGGATGAAGTCACAAAGGGGTAAGCAGAGGTCTCTCATATGAAACAATTGCCCCTCTTCATAATCAGGAACATAAAATAACTGCATATAAATACAAATTCTTTCTTCTACCGGTTTCAAATCGATTGCAGCCATTTTCAGAAAAAGAAAACGTATTCCTAGGTTCAGTGCAGTGGATGCTACTAATCAACTCTTCTGTTCTAAATCTATGCTTTGAGGCTTTTACCAAGAAGGGAAAGTAGATGTTAGTGGGTGGTTGGCCGTATAGTCATAATTCAGTTTTTCACAAGCTCGGCTGTCGCAGGGCAGTTTCTTTCAACTGTGAAGGGTATGGGTAAAGCACATGTAGATATTTTTGCCTCCGGATTGTCCTGAACAAGATGGATAATGGTCTCATAATGTGGCTGAAACTGCTAGCTCATAGAGGTCTTACGGTCTGAACTGTTTGCAGAAGTGGATGACTTAGGCTTGTTGGGGAAAGCTGCGATCAGACAGGTTAGGGAACCTCTGATAAACTGGAGAGTGTACCTTGATGCTATGTAGCTATAAGCAAGCTGGTATGTATCGGTCCCAATCAAACAATAGTCCAGCTGAAAATGTTTTAACCTTACTTTCAGCTGTTACTCAAAGTCCAGGAAAGAGCAGAAGGATCTTATTCAGAAGTAGAGCAACAATATTTTGTGTGGGACTGTGGAGTCGAGGCAGTAGGTAAACTGGAGCTGATCCTTGACCATGAGGGGACGAAAGAGGAGGAAGTAATGGAAAAAAAAGATGGGGTAGACTCTGGAAGAAAGAAGGCGTTGCAACTGAATAAAGATTGAGGGAAGGATGAGAGAAGAGGCAGAGGTGGAGATGATTGTATTCAGAGAAAAGAGGTAACTGATAGCTGATCACTTACCAGAGGAAAAAGGTTTATCTGAAAGAGAGTGTGCAGGTGGAAGCTGATCAGAGGCTAAGAGGAAGAGAGGAAGTTAGCAGTAGTTGATTGTGGACCACTGGGATAATAGGCAGTGAAAACTAATCGTGGAGTGGCGTTCTTACGGGACAGCAGTGAAAAGAATGGGTTCCAGCTGTTGTTGAGGAATGGTAGCAAGAACAGCAGCAGATCGTGTGCCATTTTGGAGAAAGCAAAGCTGGACTGGCAAATGACTGTCCAGGGTGGGAAAAATGGAAACCTATTGTGTTTGTGGTCAGGGGAAGGAAGGAAGGCAAAGCTGGTACTAACTGTAGTGGGGAGAGGAAGCAAATGAAGATGCTTGTAGTATTGCGGGGGGAGAAAGAGTGATGGTAAAGATAGAGGCAGAGTGACAACTGGTCTGAAGCGGGTACAGGAGGGTGATGCAGGATATTTATTTATTTATAATATATAAAGTAGAGGTTGGAATGATAGGTTTAGTACTTTGTAATAATGGTTACTAGGTTGCATATGAACATTCTGCCTTGCCTTTCCTTTCTGCTGATCTGTGCAACCATTTACATCCTCAAAAAGAGGTGTGGTTTAATGAGAGGGGGCAGAGTCTAAAACTCATGACTCCCACACATTTCTGAAATGTTATTGAACTATCCACTAGGAGTCAAATATAGCTGTCAAGGGACAATATTCTGACACTAACCACAATAAGGAAAGGGTTATGGGAAATGGGGAGCACAAAAATGCCTTATTCCTTGCTCATTTAGACTTTCTCCTCCCTATATGACTTGTTTCCTGAAGCTGTACCTCTACACTGCTTGACTGGTCCCAGCTTTCTGGTGTCATCACATACATTGCAGAAAAACCAGTCATGCATTGTATGTCAGAGAGCAGAGAGACTGTCCACATACCAGAAGCACTGAAAAGATTGGAAGAGATTGAGCTGCTTAAAAAGTAAGGAATACGGCCGTATACAATAGAAAAAATAAGCAGTTGAGTGGCTGTAAAGGCTCAAGGTCTTTTACCTTCATATATTCTATGCATGAAGGTAAAAAAACCTGTGTGCATCGCCCCCCCCTCCCCCCCAATACTTTCCTTTGCCCCCTCTCGATCCAATGATGTGCATTGGAGTCTCGGCTATCCCGGGACTCTCTCTACTCATTGGCTGAGACAGAAGCGGGAGCCATTGGCTCCCACTGCTGTCCATCACAGCCAGTGAGCCAATGGGAGCAGGCCTGAGCCGCTGCTCTGTGTGTGAATGGATACACAGAGCAGCTGGTGTCCCCATAGCAAGCTGTTTGCTTTGGGGGCACCCGATAGGAGGGAGGGGCCAGGAGAGCCTGCGGGGTACGCGAGAAGAGGAGGACCTGGACTGCTGTTCTGTGCAAAACTACTGCACTGAGCAGGTAAGTATAGACATGTTTGGGTTTTTTTTCTAAAGGAAAAGTAAGCCTTTAGAATCGTTTTAACACTTCCAAGTGCAAGAGGGATGTATTTTTGTTTTTTCAGTAGACTGGAGATTCAAATGGGGAGTACTTACATTGTTTTACTGTGTTTATAGATCAGCAACGGATGGATTTCTCCATTGCTGCTGGCATGCAGTATTCTGTGGGAGACAAATGCAAAGTGAGTCTTTAGTTTCATGTAATCTTCTCGTGTGTGGCTTTTCAACTCTAGCATGTGCAGATGGTGGAATTGCAGCTTTCTGAACTGATGATGGACCACTGGGACTAGTAGGCGCTGATTATAGTTTTGTGAGAAAATGAAAATGATGCCGAGTGACTGCTGAACATGGGCTTTGGAAGCAGAAGTAGATAGAGGAAGCAGAATTATTATTATTATACAGGATTTATATAGCGCCAACGGTTTGCTGAGTGCTTTACATTATAGTGGGAGACAATACAGTAACAATACAGTTCAATACAAGAGGGATTTGAGGGCCCTGCTCCTTGGAGCTTACAATCTAGGAGGGAGGGGTGAATGGTACAATAGGTAATAACAGGGGGGGATGGAGTGGTTGGAAGAGTAGAGGATTCCAGTATTAGCAGAGGGCGGGATAGTTTTCCGTGAAAAGATAGGTTTTCAGTGATCGCCTAAAAGTAAGTAGAGTAGTCTGATAGATTAGGGTCGGGAGTTCCAGAGGATGGGTGATGCCCTGGGGAAGTCTTGGAGTCGAGCATGGGAGGAGGGGATAAGGGAGCTAGAGAGGAGGAGGTCTTGCGAGGAGCGGAGTGTACGGTTTGGGTGATATTTAGAGACCAGATCGGTTATGTAAATTGGGGCAGTGTTGAGGACGGCTTTATATGTCATTGTTAGTGTTTTGAGTTTTATCCGTTGGGCAACTGGGAGCCAGTGGAGGGATTGGCAGAGAGGGGTGGCAGATACAGAACGGTTAGTAAGGTGTATGAGTCTGGCAGCAGCGTTCATGATAGACTGGAGTGGGGATAGCCTGCGAAGAGGTAGGCCAATGAGGAGGGAGTTACAATAGTCGAGGCATGATATGACAAGGGAGTGAATAAGTTGCTTAGTGGTTTCCGAGGTTAGAAACGGTCGTATCTTGGAGATGTTGCGGAGGTGAAGTCTACGTGATTTTGTCAGCGATTGGATCTGGGGCTGGAAGGACAGATGGGAGTCTAGGATTACACCTAGTACCCTGGCATGAGGGGATGGACTGATGATTGTGTTATCGATTATTTATGGTGATGTCAGTGGAGGTGGCATGGGCTGGGGGGAATACTAAGAGCTCAGTTTTGGAAAGGTTGAGTTTGAGGGAGTGGAGTGACATCCAAGCCGATATGTCACTTAGTAGGCTAATGGTGCGAGTGGAGACTGAAGGGGTGAGGTGAGGGGTAGACAGATTTGTGTCATCAGCATAGAGATGGTAATTGAAGCCGTGGGAGTTTATCAAGTGACCGAGGGAGGAGGTGTAGATGGAGAAGAGAAGGGGTCCAAGGACAGAACCTTGAGGGACCCCTACAGAGAGAGGGAGTGAAGAGGAGGTGGCAGCGTTATAGGTAACACTGAAGGAGCGCTGCGATAGATAAGAGGAGAACCAGGAGAGAGCGAAGTCTCTGAGGCCAAGAGAGTATAGTTTTTTTAGGAGGAGGGGATGGTCAACCGTGTCAAAAGCCGCAGAGAGGTCGAGTAGTAGGAGTATTGAATAGTGGCCATTGGTTTTAGCAGTTAGTAGATCATTAGAGAGTTTTAGTAGGGCACTTTCAGTGGAGTGTAGAGGGCGAAAGCCAGACTGTAAAGGGTCGAGAAGGTTGTTGTCGGTGAGGTGGGAGCTCAGACGATTGTAGACTAAGCATTCTAGAAATTTAGAGGTAAATGGCAGCAGGCAGATGGGTCTTAGGTTGTTCATGTTGGTGGGGTCCAGGGAGAGTTTAAGTATGGGAGTGATGTGCGCGTGCTTTAGAGGGGAACGGAAGACACCTGTAGAGAGGGAAAGATTGAAGATGTGAGTGAGGGAGCATAGGATGAAAGAGGAGGGTGACCGAAGGAGTTGAGGGGACAGGGTCCAGGGTTCAGGTGGTGAGGCGGGCTTCTGAGAAGACCTTAGTGACCTCTTCGGTGATAGTGAGGTCAAAGGAGGAAAGTGTTGAGGGAGGTTTGGTATGAGGAATGCTAAGTGGGGTGGGTGTCTGTGTAGTGGTGATGTCCCTACGAATTGTGTCAATCTTGTTTTTGAAGTGGTTTGCAATCTCGTAGGCAGTGAGTGAGGCGCTAGGTGGCGGTGGAGACTGAGAAAGTAGAGAATTAAAAGTAGAGAAGAGCCGACGAGGACTGGAAGAGAAGGTATTAATGAGAGTGACAAAGTAGGCTTGTTTAGCAGCGTGAAGGGAGGAAGTGTATGTAAAGAAGGCAGATTTATAACGGGTGAACGCTTGGTGGGATTTGGTCCAATGGTTGTGGACCTGTCGAGTGTAGAGAAAGCAAAGTTAAAGCTAATCATTCCTGAGGATGGAGGGAACAGGGGGCTTTACAGCTGACAATGGAACTTCGAGAAAGGCAGAGAGGGCAAAGTAGGTGCTGACCAGAGAGGAAAAAGTCCAGGTAGTATGTGAACTCATCAAGACTGGGGAGGTGATGCAGTGTCTCATTGTGTGCTATGAACAGTGTCTTTAAATAAAATATGCAAGGAGTCCACAGTAGGCTAATTGGCAATACTAGATCTTGGGTGAATTCAAATTACTGGGGAAAAAAAACAAACCGTTTTTAGCACTGGATTCCCTAATTTGCATCTGTTTGGGTGAATGCCAGAAACCATATGTTGGACAGCCAATTTCCTACTGTTCTTACTGGATATCCTGTGTTAGCGAATTCCATCCTTATTTTGTATGCCCCCCTTTACATTCCCATTTGGACACAAGGTGATTATCATGCTTGGTAGTTTTGTGAAAAGAACTCCACCTAGCTGTGTAATAATTAAAAAAAAAAAAACACAAAACCCCAAAAAACCTCATACTAAGTTCCTTACATGTCCCTCATTTTATATTATTATTATACAGGATTCAAATTGCGCTAACAGTTTGTGCAGCACTTTACAATGTAAAGGTGGGCAGTACAATTACAACACCGCTCAATACAGAAGAAAATGGAGGGCCCTGATCATGGAGCTTACAATGTGAAGGAAGGAGAGGTCGTATAAAAGGGGATGATTTTGATGGTAGTGACTCAAGTAGTTTTTAGGTGGAGATGGGGTATGCTTCCCTAAATAAGAGAGTTTTCAAGGATCACCTAAAGGCACACAAGGTAGGAACTAACCGGACATACTGGGGTAGGGAGTTCCAGAAGATCGAATGCAGAGCATGGGAGGAGGTAACAAGGGAGCTAGAGAGCAAGATGTCTTGGGAGGAATGGAAAGAACGATGTGGGTGATATCTACGGGTCAGGGTGGAGATGTAGCTGGGGGCAGATTTGTAGATTGCTTTGTGCTTAGTATTTTCAGTTTTATTCACTGGGCTAGTGGAAGCCAGTGAGGGGATTGGCAGAGAGGGGCATTGATGTGGCTGTACTTCTGGCAGATCGGCCTTCTCCACCCTTTTATTATCTCTTGACACTTTGAGCTCCTTGTAAAATCTTTTACTATGCCACGTTATTCCTCATTCCTGGGACTCCTACTGGACCTCCTGGCCATCCCGAGCTATCCTTGTAAATAGAGGGTTTTCCTTCTGGGGGCGACCCTCATAAGATTCAGTCCTTCTTTTTTCTGTTCCCTTTAACAGCGGTAACCTTCCTTGCACTCCTTTTCCATTTGGGGACAGGCTAGCCTGGAAACCAGCGTTGTCCTGTAAGGAGTGTAGTGTTAATGCTTGCAGTCTTGAACCTATGCTATTTATCACAAGCGGCACTCAGATCTGCTATATCTTTGCTAAAGTCATTACATTGTAAAGGTGTACTACAACATATTTTTTTTTTTTTTTTTATATTGATGACTAGTGACACTTGCTGGATCCTAAAATGTATGTAGTTTTTTGTTGCAAAAGGAAAAGTTGTAAACTTTTTTGGGAATATTAACAATTGGTTTTCCTTTTTGTAGGTTCGATTGGAGTATGGAGGCACTTTTTATAATGCTCACATCCAAGAAGTTGTTGCCGAGAATGGACCAGCTGTGGTTTTTGTGGAAGACCTGGGTGAAAAGTATGTTACACAAACAAGTAATAACTGTCTGACAAGATCACTAAAATTGTATACATTTATTAATAATGTACTTGAGAATGTACGAGTTTGAATTTCCATGCTCATAAATACCTATAATTTAGATAATGTCCACTTCACTTTAAGACTGTCCATTTCATAGCTGACAAAGCTCCTTCAGACTTTGGGGAGGGACTGTGAGTGTTAGTATAAAATGGACAGTAGTCCATAAACAATGCCCTAGGCTTGGTGGGCAGTGGAAGTAAAAAAAAAAAAAAAAAAAAAAAAAAGGTCTGGCACCCATGCTTATAGTTGGCAGACTATTAATAGCTTATCATGTGCCCCATTGTTGGTGTCAGTGGGAGGAAGTGTGCCATTGTTGGTATCGGTTGGAGAAATATGCTCCATCTTAGGTGTCAGTGGAAGAAATGGTGCCCTTTGTTGGTGTTAGTGCCCTGTTGCTCAGTGAGAGTAATAGTGCCCCATGGCTGTTTTAATGTGGATCTTCACTTACAAAAGGAAGTTCTGCTGAGCCTCCTCCCCCCTTCTGCTTGCATGTACTGGAAACTTTTTTTTTTTTTTTTTTTTTTTTCCCTTTTAGTTAAGGGGTTTTGATAGGTACCCGCTCCCACTTTCACTTTGCTTGTCCCCTGATGCCAACCCTCACCTGCCTCTGCCAACTGCCTGGGACATGTGAAATGTCACAGCAGACTACTGGACCATTCAGAAAGTGCGGCGCTTCTCGTACAGGTGCAGTGGGGAGCTTGCTGTAAAGCATCAGGAAGTCGCATCTGGCTTCCCACAGTCAAGATAGTTGTGCTGGGGAACTCGAAAACCAGCAAAGAACCAACCTGGGTGAAGATAGCGCTGGACCCTTGGACTGGGAAGTATCTGTATATTTGAAGTCAGCAGTTACAGTATTTGTAGCTGCTGACTTTTACGTTTTTGTTTTTTTTTTTTTTTAAGGACTGCAGTGGGGAATAATGCTGTAGAACCATAAATCTTCACTTTTTGAGTATAGGTCAACTTTGGAAAATCTATATGCTTTTATTGATGGTCTTTTTTTTCTGTTGGAAATGATGGAAGTATTGCTTAGAAAATTCATCCAAAACTTACATTTTTGTTAGAAACATGGGACCATACAACAACTATTCCTATAAACACAGAGGTTTTGAGGTATCTCTCACACAGTGGTTGTGTACACTTTTCAGCAGCTAACAAAAAAATGTTTTGGGTTGATTTGAAGGGTATTTTTCTAAAATGTTTTTCATAGGGGTTCAAAATGGTGAACATTTTGGTAATGTAAAGTGTATATATAATTTGTTCTGTAACATATATTTTATCTAGAAAAGTTGTTTCACTGAAAAACCTTAAACCAGTCCCACTGACTGTCAGCAATAATGATGGCTGGAGCACTGTTGCTGGGAAGAAGATAAAAAAGTCTACTGTGAGTGGCCCGGTGGTACAGTTCGGTAAATACATTTTTATGATTTTTTTTTGTAAACCTTTAAGCGTGGTGTTGAGTGTTTTGCATGAAAATTCGATTTTTTTCTTGGCAGAGAAGGATAACAGAGGACAGAAGAGTTTAGTTAAACCGCATAAGATGCAATCTGTACCTTCTCCGCGCCTGCAACAAGCTTCTGGAAGCAAGCAGCATGGACTTCCTGCAGATCAGACTTTCCTGAGTGAGAATAAAGGACAGAACAAGGCTCCAAAAGTGCTTGGAAGGCAAGCTTTTATATTTTATATAATTGAGGAAAATGCCATTTTAAATTCTTTGCAAAAGGGAATTTTGGTATTATCAGAGCCAAGATATCCCCAAAAACAAGCAAAGGAGAACATTCTTGCAGGACTTGTACTCCTCAGTTTTCCCAGGATCCTGCAAGTAGACAGAGTGAATTCATCCATGCCTAGACAAGGGAGCTGAAAGCCCAGATGTAAGGGATATGAGCTTTATTGTGATTTTTATTGGCAGTTGGGAGTCTAGGAAATAAGTGGACTTTTTTATTCAAGGTCTACTTGAAGGTAAACTGGGAACAAAAGGGTCCCTATATAGAAAATTATTAAATTCTAAGCTGTCATCTAACCTTGTACTTGCAGAGACAGAGGACAAACAAACATCCATACTCTTTCATCAGTTTGGTTTCCCTATTGGTGGTGGATTGCCTGCTTTCTTGTTATTCCACCTGGGTGCTGAAGGCACCTGGGAGTCTTAGTCAGCCCACATTCCAGTACTTGCAGCAGCCTTGGGTCTAAGCCCTGTGTTCCCATACTGCATTGATGGATGTTGGATTCAGAGACACAAGCTATCTTGCATGTAGATATTTGGGAGATTTCTCTCTTGTTCTGTTCTGTTTGACTGCAGTCCCTTTTTGTATTGTTTTCTACTACTCTGTATTTTTAGTTTATTAATGTGAAATGTTGTGCCCTTCAGTGGACAACAAAGATATATATTTTCTTTCTTGTTCATTGAGGGACACAGTCATTCACTTTCAGTTCATACTGCTGCCCGCAGTAGGCCAGCCCAGGATAACCCCTTCCACTACTAGCATGCCTCGGTTTTTGATAGTTGAGGAGGTTACACATCTTAGTGTTACTAAACTCACAACCGTAAAATCAGTCTGTGTATGCAGTAAAGCATTTGTTGATATACCCACTGTGGAAACTAAGGGGTTAATCCTCCGCACTGTGTAAGTTAAGTTACCCTGAAGTTTTAGAGCTTCTTTGCTTTGTTGATGCTGGCTGATGTTGACGGAGTGTGAGCTTGTATGGAAAGCAGAGGTTTTGAGACACTATGCCTTATTTTCTAGTCAGGGCTTATTCCAGGGAAGTCTGATCATTGAAGTACACTGGGAAATGCCAGATGTCCATCCACATGTATGGTCTTTAAAGTGTTACTAAACCCTCAACCGTAAAATCAGTCTGTATATGCAGTAAAGCATGCTTGTTCTACTCACTGTGAAACCTGTGGGGTTAATCCTCTGCATTGTTTAAAAATGCTCTTTGATCCTGATTTTTCTGATCCTCCCCTTCTGCCAGTGTCCCCCTCTTATCTCTTGATAAGACATATCATGTGGAGACTCTGCACATGCTCAGTTTGGTGTGTATTGCTAGAGTTTTGTTTTTTTTCTTGGAAGAGTGCAAGTGATCAGCACAGGGCCAATCAGCACTGTCCAGAGAGAGGTCAGGGGTTCTGCATCCACCTAGAGCAGAAAGAAAACTCCTCATACAAGCTTTAACCAGTGCTCTGCTGAGCACTGATAGAAGTCACAAGACTGCTCTTTCTGCTGATGAGAAAAGGTATTTAGCAGTTTATATTTACTAAAATAATTGCATTTCCATGTTGTGTGTACTGTGGGAGACCAGATTGCGCACATGCAGGGTCCTGGGTTTAGTAACCCTTTAAACCGTGCTCTGAAATGTCAATTTTCTTTTCAACAATTTTCTTTAATCAAGCTCTTTTCTACATTGTTGCTAAATATGGCCTCTTTGAATGCAGTTCAGTCTGACTTGTGGAGTGCCACGTAGGGATCCTGCTGGTCTGGACATTGCTGGATGGAAGTGACTTTCGGGCGCTGGGTTTTGCCTAATAGCCCTTTCACACTGAAGCAGTGCAGTTTCCAGATTGTGATATGGTAACAAGTTAGCTGTGGAACACATTTTAAATCCAAAACCATTTGTCTTACCTCAGCACTTGCCCTGTCTCTGAAGACTTAAGCTGGGTATACAAGGGGTGTTAATGTTCATTTAGCCAATGAGTTGAATCGAAAAAAAAAATCTCACAGATCCCCGCATCCACAAAAGCGATGTGGGAAGCAGGAATCTGCTCATCTCCCCCTTTCTTTAAGGATACACTGATCAGCTGTTGGCTGCATGTGTTGATTGAATGCTGGTTTTTGCAGTAGGACCACTTGACAGAAGCCAGAAAAGACCGACTTCTGTTGCACAGAGGTACGCACAGAGTGAAATTTGTCTGGTTTATGCTGAACTAGCTTATTTTTGGTCTTTGTATACTCTGATTTACTCTTTAGGTAGGCTAATAGACCTAAGGACTGTGGTACCTCATTTGCTTGGTTTGGATTGCTGATGTTATCCACTGGGTGGAGTGTCATGTATGTGTGTTCTGAGCGGTTCCACCTACCATTGATTATCAAGGAAGCATCCTTCTGCTTTGCATAGAGCCACATGGACCTCCCACTTTGGTCTGTTTCTACTGCCTGCCTACAGTGCCAGTGGTTACCTTCACCCATCTGCCCCCCCACTTTGCTACCTGCTGTTTGGTTTTTGTGAGTACCTGAGCCTTTCATTGGCAAACTGCCACAGGGTGGCATGCCCTTGTACTAGAAATAGTGGGGACATTCCTACTGTACCGCATTACCCCAGCTCATAATCTTACCGACCCAGTGCTGCTTGTAATGTGGTCATGGATTTGGCCAATGTCTGCGGCCTGCAATCATGCGGCCTTCTGATCCTAGTGTCGAGCCCATTATCTGAGTCGTCTCTAGCTGTGTTGGGTACCGCAGCTCTTCTGCCTCCCTACTGAAACCTTAAATAGACCCGTGTGTGACTTTATGGCCAAAAGCCAGGTATTTGATAATTCTGACCTCCGAAGACACAAGCGTGAGGAACTCCAGTCCTCATCAAACGAGTTTGCCTCTGACGAGTCAGTCTTTTGCTATCACTCCCAAATTTAACATCACTCTGAAAGTAGAGGATCAGCCTGTTGCCTCTACCAGTGCTATTCCCAGTCTTGGGTCCTATAGACCCCCTAAAACTATAAAGATGTTTCCAGTAAACCTGCTTATTAGCCTTTTATCCGTTTTAGGAAGACTTTGTTAAAAAGTGCTCTGCCCCTACTATGAATCCAGCAATGTCCCATCTTAAAGCAACCATCATCCTGGTGAAGGACACACCTGTCTTTAAGCACACAATCGCTCAGAAGTTTGGAGCCCTCTTTAGAGCTCTGTTCTCACCAATTCTGCTTTTTATCTGGTCTTCATTGTGTCCTTTTTTCTTTTTTTTTTTTTTTCTCTTTGTCTCCAGACTGGTCAAAGTTTATTAGAAATCTTATACCTATTGCAGTTGATCCCTTGATCATGGAACCTTTGTAGCAAATAATTGTTGCTTTAAACTATAGTTGTGATGGGCAGCTGGAATTTTCCCAGTACATATGCGTAGGAAACTTTGGGTAAAGTGTTTGAACTGCAAAACCTGCATCTGAAAAGTGTCTACTTTCCATGAGTTTGCAGGGGCATACTATAGACACCATTATCACGCAAACTACTGTTGGCAAGAGCACTTGCCTTCCTCAGTTAAGGAACTATCGTTGGCAAGAGCGCTTGTCTCCTTCAGCTAAGGAAGCCTAAGGCACAGACTGCCAAGGCTCCTACCTTGCTGGAGGTTATGAAGTCTTTTTTGTTTCATCACTACTTCAACCTCCCAAATTCAACCCCCCTCATGCTTGGTTCCCTGTCCACCTGCTTGGTCTGGTGCTCAAACTCTGCGACACATCAGGAAAACCTGCCTTTGTATAAATGGGGACCACAACCTTCGAATTTGTGAGGGACATCTGTTACCAATTGCAGACACTTGGATTCTCACCTCTTACTTTGCAGTGTCACTGCATAGATTAGCAGATCTCTCTGGGGTTTCTGGATCAAGGTATCATTACCACAGTTCCTCTGGCAAAATAGTTTCAGGAGCTTTACCCCAAACTGTTCACAGTCCCAAAGGGGGCATACACTTCATACTGGATCTCAAAGCACTAAATGTCTGCATTCAGGCTCAGACGTTCACAGGCCTGCATGTCCCCATCTTCCCAGTGCACTAGCGTTTACTGTGCCCTGCTGTCAGTTCATGGCCTTGCTATTCAGTCTCTCTCTAGTCTGGTGTTCACCTAGGTGTTGGCACCAGTACTAGCCTTGATGTCCTGTTGTGGCATCCCCATTGCATATATGCAATACTTGTCCTGTTGTGAACAGTTGGTTTAGGCTCTGTCAGACAATGTAGCCTTGACTGTCCAGACATTATAGACGTTGAGATAGAACCTGACCCTTAGAAATGTGCCAACCAACTCATCATTTGGAGCATCTGGGTCTAGACCAGAGTAATTCTTCTTGTTGAGAAACCTCAAACTCTTTTGATCCCAAATTTGTACTCTCCAGTCCAGTAGTTGTTCAACACTCTGCTTTTTGATCAGAGTCCTGAGTCTGATGGTAGCCTCCTTCAAGGCAGTCTGATTTGCCCAGTTTACTTCCAGATCCTTAAGGGTATGTTCACACCAGCCACTGCGTTACATTGCAGTGGTCCAGCCGTGATCAGTGCAATGATGTACCAATCTCGGCGCATTATGCTATTCCTTTTTAAATGAATTTTGACATGTCACACAGGCATCTCATCAAGTTCAATTGCTGGTCACAAGGCAGTGGATTGCCTCGACTGCATTGCGCTGGCAGTGATCTACATAAACCATCGGAGGATTTAGAAGTGTCGTTGTGGCAAAAGTGGAAGATTGAATCCTGTCCTGGACAGAAATTCACATTCCAGTCTTGTCCACTGTTTACAACCTAGGTTTGGCAGGTAGACTTCTTTAGCCTGGAAGTCCTGGCTTCTAGGTTAAACAACAAACTGGATGGGCTTGTCTCCAGGTTCAGGGATCCTCTAGCCAAAGCTACTTGAGATTGGTATACCCTAATCTATGTCCTTCCTCCTGTGAAACAACTTGCAGAATCAAGAAGGGAGGGCATTCTGGTTTGGTGCAGGCGGCTCTGTTACTCAAACCTGGTAAGATTCCTAGCAGATTTTTCATGGAGTAATCAAGATCATCTAGATCTTCTTCATCCCAATGACCAATTTTCCATATTGCTCCAGTGTCATTGGTTTTAACAACTTCAAGTCCAGACACTTTCACCCCCTTTCCAGTCCAGGCCAATTTTCAGCTCTGTCGTGCGTTGAATGACAATTGCGCGGTCATGCAACACTGTACCCATATGTAAGTTTTTTTTATAAAATTTTTTTCACACAAATAGAGCTTTCTTTTGGTGGTATTTGATCACCACTGTTTTTTTTTTTTTTTTTTTTTTTTTTTTTTTTTTTTTTTGCTATACGAGTGAAAAAATACTGGAAAAAAAACAGAGAACAGGTACATTAGCTGATGATTTCTGATGTTCTAAGCTAGGAAGTTTAGTTTTCACAAGTTCGTCCATTGGACATGACAGGCATTATTCACTTGGTGTCTCGGGGCTGCCATCCTATGAGATTTTCAGTGGGATGAATCCTCTCCTTCCTACAGTTTGGTCTAGACCAGCATTTGGCTGTCAGCACTGTCAAAGGTTAGGTTTGTAAGGAACGTCCTTCTTGCAATGTATTTTCAGCCTTTCACCTCTTCTCGTTCCTCTGTCCAGCTCCAGCTCACCAACAGGAAATTTCTTTCCATTGTCCGGATGTGGTGTCTCTTTTTCAGCCATTACTTTTAAGAGAATGGATTCCCTTTATGTCAACCCAGGGAGTCCCAATAAGGTTGCATCAGCTTCTCGTGCCACCATTTCTAGGCCGGTCATCATTCATCATATCCTCAAGGATCATCTTCCACCCTTTCCTGTCAAGGTACACGCTATTAAATCTGTGCCTGCTTCTTGGGCTTTTTGGCATCAAGCAACAGTTTCCCAGTTGCTAAGTGGAAGGCTTTCATGTAGTCCTCTGTTCACTTGTTCTCTAATTTCTTAGTGGATGTTCAGACCTTTTCTGATGCCAGCTCCGAGCATAAGGTCTATTGGGTGGCTCTCTGGGATGCAGACAGTCCCCAGGTCTTTTGCTTTCTTGGCCCAGTAAGCATTTGTTTGCCTTGTTGTCCATCCTTTTAGTCTGCCTTTGATGCTGCAAAACTGAATGGCTTGTACCTCATTTACCTCATTAGACAAAGAATATAGATTTTTGTAGTCGCTGCAAAATCCTTTTCTTTGGAGTCCATTCAGGGACACATGTCCTAACCCAATTTGTTTATGATCATACTTTTGGTACTACTTATTACAACACTATGGCACACTTGATAGTAGGAAGGGTTCTCCTGGGCTGGCCTCCAGTTTGTTTGTTTTTTTGTTTTGTCCCCCTCCCCTTCCATACTGTAGGTGGATGTACTGAGTGAATGATTTTCTGTGTCTCTTAGTGGACTCCCAAGAAAAGGATTTTCCTCTTTTCCTGAAGTCAGTTGAGAGGAACAGCTCCCTACTATCTGTTGAAGATGTTGACACTATTATTTTGTACGGCTTGCTGCAATTGAGCAGGATGGTTGGTGGAGGGATTATGGCCCCTATTGAGTGGAGGGGTGGGAGCTAGTGCCTAATGTCCAATCTCCTGCAGTATAACCTACAGTTCATGAATGAGTTGCTGCTCCAACTCTTCATCTTCATCTGTGAAGAATGGGAAACAACCCTTCCACTGAACATGCATCACTTGCTACAGTTGCCAGCCTATTCCAGAACAGCTATTGTATTCATCCATTCCCAAAAGTATGAAAAATTAGGAACAAACGTAGCACATGTAACTTGGCACTCGACAATATAACCTCCACACATTACAACCCCTGACAAAAAGTAGGGAATCACCACTCTTGGAAAATGTTCATTCAATTTTTTAATTGTGTAGAAAAAAAACTAATCACAGACATGCCTCAAAACTATTTTCATTTAACAATCCAACCTTCTGGCTTTAAGAAACATTTAAAATATAAAGAAAAAAGAAAACTGTAGTCAGTTGCAACTGTTTTTGCAGATCAAGCGGAGGAAAAAAATATGGAATCATTCAATTCTGAGGAAAATATAATGCAATCATGAAAAAAAACACTACAGTGCACCACTAGTACTTTGTTGCACCATCTCTGGCTTTTATAACAGTTAAATTCATGCCTCAGAGAATTCAAGCTATCGACAAACCGTATTCTTCATCAATCCGGCTCCAACTTTCTCTTATTGCAGTTGCCAGATCAGGTTTGCAGGTTGGACCATTTTCTTTCATTTCCACCACAGATTTTCAGTTGGATTGAGGTCCAGACTGTTTGCAGGCCATGCCATTGACATTATATGTCTTTCTTGAAGGAAAGTTTTTTCAAGGCTTTTGCCCTATGGCAAGATGCATTATCCTGAAAAATGTCATCATCAGCAAACATCCTTTCACTTGATGGAATAAGAAAAGTATCTAAAATCTCAATATAAACTTGTGCATTTATTGAAGATTCAATGACTGTCATTTACCTTGTGGCTTTACCTGACATACAACCTCATATCATCAATGATTGCGGAAATTTGCATGTTTTCTTCATGCAGCCATCTTTATACATTTCTTTGGAAGGGCACTCAACAAAAGTTCAAGCATCATCACCCTGCCCAATGCAGATTTGTGATTGATCGCTGGATATCACTTTCACCCAGTCATTCACAGTCCATGATTGCTTTTCTTTATCCCACTGTAACCTTGGTTTTTTTTTATTTTTAGGTGTTAATGGTGATTTTCGTTTGGCTTTTCTGTATGTAAATCCCATTTCCTTTGGGCAGTGTCTTACAGTTTGGTCACAGTCATTGACTCCAGTTTCTGCCCATTTGTTCCTCATTTGTTTTGTTGTGCATTTTCTGTTTTCAAGGCATATTGCTTTACGTTTTCTATCTTGATGCTTAAGTGTCTTCCTTGCTCTACCATTACACTTCCCTTTTACAAACTTCCAATTTGATTTGTACTTTGTCCAGATTTTAGACACAGCTGACTCTGAACAACCAGCATCTTTTGCAACATTCTGTGATGATTTACCTTCTTGAAGACGTTTTTATAATCCTCTCCTCTGTTTCAGCTGACATCTCTCATGTTGGAGCCATGATTCATGTCAATCAGCTTGGTGCAATAGCTCACCAAGGTGTGCAAGCACTTTTTTTCTCTTTTAACTGCAGACTAATTAGCAGATGTTTTGTTTTAGAACTGCAAAGTACATGGTGATTCCATAATATTTTCCTCAAAATCGAGTGATTCCATATTTTTTCTGCTGCTTGCAATTGACTAGTTTTCTTTCTTTTTTATTTTTCGAAGTGTTTTTTAAAGTCAGAAGGTTGGAATGTTAAATGAAAATAGTTTTGAGGCATGTCTGTTTTTTTCTACATAATTAAATAATTGAATGAACATTTTCCAAGAGTGGTGATTCCATACTTTTTTGCCAGGGATTGTAGCGTGCGAGTCCCAAAAACTTGTAACATGAAGTGGTGGTCAAAAGACAAGTGGGGTTATCCGCAGCTCATGTCAAAACTAGTACCACTTAACATGGAGTGGGCCATGAATCTTCATCATGGAAGGGGCAGAATGAGGAAAGAATGTAATCTGCAGCTCCTGGTAGAGACAGACCTTAGGTTGATATGATTTGACATGCAATAGAATACAGTTTCCAGGGCACACTTGTGTGACTTTATTCCAACAAACACATATCCACACTTTTAAAACTTGTAGCAGCTTGGCAGTGGAAGGGTGAGTGTAACAGCAGCTTGCCAGGACCCAACCGCTAGTCACTGAGCTGAATGCATGGGGTCAGACCTGCCAGAAAGAAATAGGAGCAGCAGCGTCTCACAGCCTCCTTCACACAAACAGTGAGCAAACATTGGAGGATGTGGGCGGGCACTATGTGTTTCAGAAGCTCCTCCTGCTTTCTCAAGACACCTATCCACACTTGCATATCCACATATAAGTATGGATATGTGTTGAAATAAAGTCACACAAGTGTTTTAATCCTGCACCCTGGAAACTCTGTTTTTTTTCATCCATTCCCTTTTTATCTATGTTTTATTGTCTATTAGTAAGAAGAAATCCATATGTATTATATTTGGTTCTCTGCGTGGATATTATGAGTCGTCTTGTATATTCAAATTTGTATGTAAGCAGAATGAATTGCAGACATTTTTAGCGGTCTTTATGCTTTTACAGAAAGATTGATCGAGAAAGAAGTGAGGAGTCAAGCTTCCATCAAAGGGAGAGAGTCCACTTTGGCCTTACTCCAGAAGAACGCAGAGAGAAACAAGTCATTGAGGAGTCCAAGTCTTTGTATGAAATGCAGAACAGGGATACAGAAGCATTTCCAACCCTTGCTGTAAGTTTTCTCAAGCATTTTGAACATTTAAGACCAACTCTCTGCAACTTCATTAAAAATGCAAAAGGAGGTGAAACAAGAGCATTGGGGCCAAGGCCTTCAGAAAGCATGGTGTGTGCCATATTCACAGTAGCTGGACAATGCAGAAGAAAGTGATCATATTAGCACAGAACAGCCAAACTGGCAACAGTAGAGACACAGATTTCAATTAGAACTGAGACAGGTCTACCTTTCTTTTTAACAAGAATAATTATTTTTGGTGCATTTACGATAATTTGTCATGCTTTTTCCATATGTTTTTGCATGCTTCATATTTATTATATGCTATTGTGTCACTTCATAATTCAGTTTGAAAATGTATGTACACATTTACTCATTTTGAGTGTTTTAATAAAAGGTCAAAGTTTTTGTCAAATGTAGTATTAGTAACAACAATGCCAGTTGAAAATAATGCATTTTTATTTTACATCGATTTTGTTTGTGTTGTGAGCAAGATGCATGCAAACACAAGCAATAAGAATCAGCCCCCAAAGTTTTCTGTCAAAGTGAAAAATATCTTTAGGGCTCATTCACACCAAGCTGTACTCCATTAAAAACCAGCTTTTCACTGTGCCTGTAAGTGACAGGTGATTTTGTACAGTCGCCTGTAGTAATCAATGACTGAGCGCGGCTGTAACCTGGTAGCTGCACATCCAAGTGTTTCCTTGCATTTAGGAATGGATGTGCTGTCCTGGACACAAAAAGGGCTACTCACTTGTTCCTGTATGGAAGTAAACACTTGGTGTGGTTATTAGTGTACATATTCTAAGCAGCTCTGAATCGGTGACATCACAGGAGCAGGACTTGCATGCACACACAACCCAAGTTGTTTCCTTCTCCTGCCATTTTCTCAGGTGCAGAGCATTTTCTTTGCATTCTCAACTCTCCTCACTTAGCAGACAGTGGTTTTTGGAACACAAAGCACCATTGTACATAATACACCCTAACTACAAGTGTTACATGATCCAAAAGTTGGAGTTAGACTTTGATGTTTCACAGCTTCTTGTCCAGATTTCTGCTCAGCTGTCTTTACTCTTGAGCCGTAGGGTATATTGACATTGGCTTCTGCAACATGTCTGGCCCCAAAAACAAGGGTTGTTATCCTGTAATTGCAGATGAACCACAGGCTCAGGATGATGTTTGCTTTCTTGTGCAAAACTGATTTAGGCACAGGAAAAGATTGTATCATCTGTGTTTACTAGCAGCCATTTTTGAGTCCTCCCCTCATTCTTCTAACTACCTTTCTGCCAATGTTTTTTCTTCTCTTATACAGGGGTTTATGACTCAGTTGACACAGCTCGTCAGGGCTGGGTCTAGCCTGTCTGATGTGGGGGTGCAGTAAAAAAATGTGAGGGGGGGGGCAAAGGATGCAAGGTCAGCAGGGCATTGAACAGGGGGTCTGCAGGGCAGAGGTTTAGGTTAGCAGTTTGTACGGCAGTGTACAGAGGCCATTAGCTTGCAGGGCAGTGTACAGTGGTTCAACAGGGCAGTATACAAGGGATAAGCAGGGCAAAGGATCAGAGGTCTGCAGGAAATTGTACAGGAATTGGTATGGCACTGTACAGGGGATCAGCAGGTGTAGGACAGGGATCAGTGAAACCAAAGATAGTGGTCAGCTGAGCTGTGGACAGGGGTTGGCAGGGCAGAGGACAGGGGTCACTGCTGGCAGGGCAGCGGACATGGGTCATTGCTGGTAGATAATTTGGTAGAGCTGCTCCCATCCCTTCACTGCACACAGTCTGGACACAGACGGCAGCGATCCTCATCTACCCACCACACATAGCAGAGATTGCATTCTCTTACACACAGCCACAATCTGCAGTGCAGGGATGGCATAAGGAGCTCAACAGCCAGGCACAGCGTCTCGGGGAGGGAGGAGGAAAGGGCATGGGGCTTAGGCTTCTTTTTTTCTTCTACTGCTTAAAGGCTCAGTTCACCTTTTGGAACATGTTACATGTTCCACCCTTGTTTAGGGTGAAGCATGTAACCTATTCCAGCATTGTCCTGTGGGGAGCCCTATTTGACCTTACTTGACCACTTGAAGCCTGGACTGTTTCACCCCCTTCCAGTCCAAGCCATTTTTCAGGTTTCAGTGCTGTCACAATTTATGCTGTCACAGTCATGCAACACTGTTCCCAAATTAATATTATGGGTTTTTTTGTTCTTTAACCACTTGCCAACCGCGCTATAGCCGAATGATAGTTACAGCACGGTTGTTCACTTCTGGGAGTGCGTCATATGGCGCTCTCCCCTGGGGTGGCACACCCAGCGATCTCCGTGATCGCTGTGTCCTACGGACACAGCTGATCACATGATGTGGTAAAAGGCCAATCACAGTGGCTTTTTACCACGTGATCAGCTGTGTCCAATGACACAGCAGATCACCCGGTAAATGCAGTTGCCGGTTATCAGTTGCACTTTCCTCAATCTGTCAGAGCGTGAAGAAAGTACTGCCGATAACTCGCAATTGTCAGAGGACGGATCGGCACCAATCATCAGTGCTCTGATGATCAGTTCCCAGCAGTGCTTCCAGTCAGTACAGCATCATCAGTGTCACCTATCAGTGCTGCCTCAATGCACATCAGTGAAGGAAAAAAATTAACTGTTTGCAAAATTTTATAAAAGAGACAAAGAAAAACTCTTGTTTTTGATTTGTTTGCTGTTGTTTTTGGTTTATAGTGCAACAAATAAAACACCCAGCAGCAAGTAAATACCACCAAAAGAAAGCTCTATTTGTGTGAAAAAATGATAGAAATTTCATATGGGTACAATGTTGTATGACTGCGCAATTGTCATTCAGAGTGTGACAGCGCTGAAAGCTGAAATCTGACCTGGGCACGAAGGGAGTATAAGTGCCCGGTAGGCAAGTGGTTAAACAGATTCTGCTTTCTTTTGGTGGTATTTAATCAAAGCCGGGTGTTTGTACTTTTTACTATTTAAAGGAAAAAAGACTGAAAATAAAAATGAATCATAATTTCTGTTCTAAAACTTTGCATCCAATCTTCCTTCATACAGTTGAGCCAAAATGGATTTTTTGTAATTTTTTTTTTGTCACAATTTTTTGGGAAAACGAAGTTACTGTATTTTTTGCTCCATAAGACGCACCTAGGTTTTAGAGGCGGAAAACAAGAAAAAAAATATTCTGAACCAATGGACTGCAGACACAGTACAGGAAATGACCAGAGACTGCGGACAGTACAGGAGGTGACCAGAGACTGCAGACAGTACAGGAGGTGACCAGAGACTGCGGACAGTACAGGAGGTGACCAGAGACTGCGGACAGTACAGGAGGTGACCAGAGACTGCGGACAGTACAGGAGGTGACCAGAGACTGCGGACAGTACAGGAGGTGACCAGAGACTGCGACAGTACAGGAGGTGACCAGAGACTGCGGACAGTACAGGAGGTGACCAGAGACTGCGGACAGTACAGGAGATGACTAAGAGACTGCAGACAGTACAGGGGATGACTAAGACTGCATACCTTTGTGGAGGGAGGGGAAGCGGGTACCTGAATTTGACAGGTACCCGCTCCCACTTCTGCAGAGTTGCCCATCCTTTAGTGTGGGCACCAGGCTGACAGCCGGGTGCCCAGTGCGCATGCGAGAGAAGCGCTGCGCTTTGTGATTGGTCCGGCGTCTTCTGTGACCTGTCGTGTCCCAGAAGACGCCGTACCATTTATAAAGCGCAGCGCTTCTCGCGCATGCGCACTGGGCGCCCGGCTGTCACAGATGCCGGGGCAGGAAGACTGTGCAGCGCTGGACCGAGGAACAGGTAAGGTCCTGCAGGAAAGAACAGCTGAGCGGCCGGCCCGGTATTCTGACACAGTGGCGGAGGAAATACCAGACCGGCCGCTTTATATTCGCTCCTTCAGAAGCACTGACATTTTCCACCCTTTTTGGGGGGGGGGGGGAGTGCATCTTATGGAGCGAAAAATACGGTAAATATTTTTCATAAAGTTTTGAAAAGTCATATTAGCAAGCTATTTCTCACACACTACATAGGCATACTTAAAATTACACCCCAAAACACATTCAATTACTCCCCCTTAGTATGGGGATACCATATATGTGTTTAACAGCCTAGACTCACAGAGGGGGCCAAAATCCAAGGAGCACCTTTTTTTCACCTTTAGGCTTTCAAGTAGCAGAAATTAAGTGTCTCATTTCCTATTTTTCATATTTCTTGAGTCTCTGAAGTGCCGGGACAATAGGAATACCCACAAAATGACCCCATTTTGCTGGTGCAACCTTTTGGGGACCCCTGGGTTCCCATAGAAACTTTTGAAAATGTTTTTTGTATTCACTTTTTTTTTTTTTTTTTTTTTTTTTTTTTTTTTGAGGTCACTGAGGGACACAGCTTGACAATAAGCTGTGGCATGTGTAAACCCTTGGCCACGAATTGCGGGCTTACAGAGGTATGATTCCTCACATGACTTTGAAGCAAAGTAGGAGGAGGGGTATAAAACCGTGGGTCAATGCAAAGTTTAACCAAATGAATGCCCCAAAAAATCCCCACTGTGTGTGTGAAAAATATCTTATTAACCACTTTCCCTCCTGAGGATTTACCCCCCTTCCTGGCCAGGTCATTTTTTGCGTTCCGGCACTGCGTTACTTTAACTGACAATTGCGCGGTCATGCAACGCTGCACCCAAATGAAATTTACGTCCTTTTTTTTTTTTTCCCCTCACGAATTGAGTTTTCTTTCAGTGGTATTTGATCACCTGGGTGGTTTTTAGTTTTTTGCGCTATAAAAAAAAAAGACCGACAATTTTGAGAAAAGAAAAAACAAGATTTTTGACTGTTTGCTATTAAACGTCCACTAAAAAAAAATGTGTAAAATCAAATTTCGTTATAAATTTAGGCCAAAATGTATTCTGCAAAATGTCTTTGCTAAAAAAAAAAAAAAATACCAATACGTGTAATTTAATTGGTTTATGTGAAAGTTATAGCGTTTACAAATGGTGGTATAGATACTGGAATTTTTTTTTTTTTTTTTTTTTTTTTTTTACTAATGGCGGTGATCAGCGACATATAGCAGGACTGCGGCGGGCATTCTGACACTGGGGAGAACTGACATCCTCAGTTACACCAGTACAGTGATCAGTGCTAAAGTAAAAAGCACTGACACTGTACTAATGACACTGGGCAGGAAGGGGTTAACATGAGGGGTGATCAGAGGGTTAACTGTGTGCAGGGAGTGTTTTACTGGGGGGGGGCGGTGTGTTGGTGCTTCACTGTAAGCACACTGCTCTGGATGGCTGTGCCGTGCATAGCCATCCAGAGCAGTGTGCCTGAGCCGACGGAGGAGGACTGTTAGTAAACAAAGCAGTCCTCCTTCCCGTCGGAGATGCTCGGTAATCACCGGCCAGAACCCGAGGATTGACAGCTGCAAATGGCAGCACGTGCACCCCCTACCCGGAAGTGCAAAATCACGTATATATACGTGATTTTGTGCACTCCTGCCACCCCGTAGCAGTATATCTGCTATAAGGCGGCGGGGAAGCGGTTAAACTGACAACTTTGTGTAAAAACTATACATTTTCATTTTCTTTCTGCATTGTCCAGAAACTTGTGGCAAAAAAATTAAGTCTTCAGAAAACTTGCAATGCCTCTTAAAAATACTTAGGGGCATTTACTTTCCAAAATGTGATCATTTTGTGGGTGTTTTTACTGTCCTGGTGCTCCAGAGACTCCCAAAATGTGAACTGTAGTATGGAAATTAGATGCATTATTCATGCTCTTAGAAAGCTTGAAAGTGTTCCTTGGGTTTTGGGCCTCTATGTGGTTAGGCGATGAAAGTCTCACAAACATGGTATCGCCATACTCAGGAGGAATAGCAGAATGTGTTTTGGGGTGAAATTTTTGTGTGAAAAAAAAAAAATAATTTTCTTTATGCATTTTCCAAAAATACAATTTGTTTTAAAATGACCACTTAATCAAAACCCCAAGGTAATTTTTGGGCAGAGACGGTGGATGACCTCAACTGGCCCATGAGATCAAGAGTGAGAAATAAAGACAATTTATTGTCATTCAACAATAAATGCTAAAGTGAAATACAGACATAGCCCCAACACATGAAAATATCCAAATATTGCGCATCAATACACTCTGCCACACACTGCATAATTCTGGATAACTGATAAGAGCCTATCAAGGGTGCAATCCTCCCAACTTCAAGAAATGCCAGATTTGTTAATTGACGATCTAAGCTTCTTTGTTTCTAAGAAGCTCTATAGAATTTAGACCAGAACTTTTTCAGACTGTTTGGAGATTTTTTTTTGCAGTCTGTATAAATTATTGGATCTGTTTTCAGGCTTCCTTAGTTGATGCCACTGGTACAAGTTCTGATGTGAAAAAGAACATGACGGTAAATCGAGAGAAGAGTGCCAGGAGAAAGTCAGAAGATGACCAGAAGACAAAAGGTGAACCTAATACTGTGACGGATTTCTTCTGTTTTGTACTGATAGGGTCTAATATTGCTTTTTTTATTGAAGGTAATTATTGAATAACTACAATTTTTTTTTTGTTTGTTTAGTCTTGTTGACTTATCTATATTTTTGTAGCTGCTTGTTAGTAATTTGTGTTTTTTACTTTTTAATTAAGCTTCCAAACTGGCTCAACCTGCAAGAGTGGATGATCAGAAAACAAGTGAGGTAGGCTATGAATTAATGATGACAATGTGTTAAAACTGCAGACCAAGATTATCGATTTGTCATAAGTGTATTCAAGCTCAGAAATATTTAAAAGAAAAAGTAAAATTTAAAAACAACCCTGTCATTAAGATATCCAACCTTGTTGTTAGGATCTCCTTGCACAGTGGTCCTCTTACGGGCTCATACATCACTGCCTGGATGTACACCCAAAAAGTGTCAGATACCTTTAGCAACCAGAGATCTGCAACACAGGGCTACTGAAAATTGAAGTATAAAGTATGTTTAACAGGCTGGCTTTAGTTTAGTTTATCTTGGGAATCTTATTAACAGGATTGTGGAGGAGCGGACGCTGCTCAAAGCCAATCCCCGGAGTCAGATAATGGTAGCGTATTGTAGATGGCCTCAGGCGCCACACCAAGCCCCGATGGGCGGGGTGAAACACATCAGAGGGCGTGACTGGAGTGGTGCTCAAGGCCATCTACAACACGCTACCATTATCTGACTCTGGGGATCAGTTTTGAGAGACGTCTGCTCCTCTACATACTGCATCAGTTTCTGGAATAATCTGGGATGCTGCTCTCCTTTCTCTGCCAACGGGGTGACTTTCACCTGTATTCAGCCTTGGGCAGCACCATAAGTCTCCCATATGGCTTACTAACAGGGTTGTTTTAAAGTAACTTAAAGCTTTTGTTAGACTTTGACGTGAGCAATAAATATTTATTTCTGCTGATGCTCAAGGACTCAAGGTGATAAGCTATTTTGCAAAACCACCCACAGAAGCCTTTCACATCCAGCTGCGTTTTATGTAATGTATAGGAGAAATTGAAGAGTAATATTTATTACTGAGTTTAACTTATTTACAGTACTGTGAGTTCAAAAATGTAAAAGTGTACTGGTATGTCAGTTGTCTTTTATGTTTCATATGGAAAAGGTTGCAGACCCCTGGGGTTAGATCCTTCTGGTAGCTTTTGTCATCTGGCTCCCTATTTGTGGTATCTCTTCAAGGATGGAGACACTAACTTTTAACACCTTTTTTAAAAGATGGCGAAGGGCTAGAACTTCTGACATTTTCTTATTGCTGTCCTGATATGGTGACAGATTTCAACTCCATCTCTTGTGTAGGCATTACTGGGTCAAGAAGTGAGTGTAGATTTCCTCTACGGGGTCACAAGCAGAAATGAAAACCTCAATAAAATCTTAACTCTCCCCCCCCCATATCCAAAACAAAAAAAGTCTTGGAGTTAATCTTTAAAGTGGTTGTACAGGCTCAAGGTTTTTTTTACATAAACCTAGTCGCTACTGGTGCTAATTAACTTTGAACAGGTATAACTCACTGGTTTAAAGTTGTTGCTTTTAAATTCTGGGCAAATTTAACTATGGAAATGATACCAAATTTTGAGGGGTTTTATAAATTAGAACATTTGTATACTGCACCCTACAGATGCAGGTAGTGATAACAATATCCTGCTCGCATGGTATGTTAGGTGAGGCTTGGACAAAGATTTCAATCTCGTAGCCAGTAGCAGTTATGATATATGGAACACATATAGGAAATTCTACATTAAAATGTCCTTATTTCTATAATCCGTGTAATTTCTTCTGATCCCAAGGGATCAATCATCCGATTTAGGCCAGTGATGTCCAGCCCAAGATGAGCGATCCCTGTCCTGTGTTGACACTTACACAGGTACAGGAAGTGATGACACCTTCTCTCTCTGGGCACATTCCGTCCCAGAGAGAGAAGAATCAACAGAACTGTGAGCAAAAGCACTACACAAATTCAGTTAGGATACTCTAGAACACATTTTAAGCCCCCCATTAACCCCTTCACTGCCCTGTCACCAGTGTCATTAGTACAGTGTATAGATTTTTTTGCCGGTCACTGTATTAGTGTCACTGGCGACTTCAGATAGCGCCCCTCCCAGATACCGTCAGATTGATCGTCAGTACACCAGTAATCACATTTAACCCCTTGATTGCCTGGAACACACATACACAATAAACCTACATTGCTAGTATAGTGTCTGAACGGATCAATATCTTTTGATCAGATCAGCACGATACCAGTGTTCTCATTAGTATAGTGTTCCCAAAAAGGCAGCGTTAGCGGGATCAGCCCCGGAACCTGCCAGCATTTGCGTTTAGCTCCTACGCTTACCCCCCTTCTCCCCCGGCAAGTGCCGTGTCAGGTCACTGTCATTTGATACATTGCACACAAAATGGCAGTGTTCGCAGAATCAGGCCTGGCCTGATCTCTGCTAGCACTTGCCGGTAATTTTTTTTTTTTTGTAGCGGTTCAAGCAGTCCCTGACAGTCAGGTGCTCTTTTTCCCTCGAGTCGCTCTAGGTACCTATAAAATTAGTGGCCAAAATGTCCAACGAAAAGGTACTCTAGTGAAGAGGCCTACAGGATTCTGAGCATGTGCGATGAGAGCGAAGGGAAAGACTCACTGGCAGAATCAGGCTCAGAATACGAACCTGTAGACCACAGCAGCACACTGATAGATAGCTCAGACGATAGAGAAGAGGTCCCTGTTAAGTCAGGTGTACCCAACCCCGTTCCCAGGTTGCTGAGATTTTACAAACGCATGATGACTCTCATATGCAGCAGAGTGCCAGTACTAGTGCCTTTCTATCTTTTGGTGAGCTGGAGAGAACCAGCGGTCTAATACATCCTGGTCTTTCACATACCAGCACTGCAGTATCACTTGGTGATGTGGCGAGTCTCATAAGTGCAGTACAAGCTGGTGCGATGGCGAGCACAAGTAGTGTTCCACAGCCACCAAGAATTTGCACACAGGCTCGTAGAGCCCCTAGTGTCTTTCCAGACGTGCTTGCAAATCCTGATTGGCAGCCCACGAATTCTGCAGCACCCACACTTCACCCATTCACTGCCCAACCCGGAATTCAGGTGGAAACCGCAAATTTAAATACTCCCCTTCATTTTTTTGGAGCTGTTTTTCACAGATCTGTATGCATTAATTGTGGATCAAAGCAATTTATGTGCACAACAGTTTATCACCGCCAACCCAAATTCAAACCTTGCCAGATCATTCGCATGGAAACCCATTACGGTTTCCAAATTTAAAATTTTCTTTGGGTCTAACCCTCAAAATGGGCAATACTAAAAAAAAGTCAATTGCGGTTGTATTGGTTCACAGACCAATTCATCATATGTCCGTGTTCTCTGTTGCCATGGCCAGGCATAGATATGAGAGTATAATGTGTTTTATGCATTTCAACGACAACACACTCTGTCGTCCTCGGGGGGACCCTGAATTTGACCGACTCCACAAACTTCGGCCCCTCGTAAATCACCTTAACCAAAAATTTGCAGATATCTATACTCTCCATCAAAACATCTGTGTTGACGAGTCCCTCATTAATTTTTCTGCCCTCCTTGCATTCAATTTCTCTCCCCAGCAAGTGTGCCAGATATGGGGTCAAGATATATGTATAGCCTGTTGCCCTCTCACAGGTCTTATACAAGTTTCGGATTTACATGGGAAAAGATTAGTCACGTGGAGTTCCCCGGATGCCCAGACTACATGGGCAGCAGTGGCAAGATAGTTTGGGACTTGGTGTCATCCTTTTTCCATATGGGGTACCACTTATACGTGGACAATTTTTATTCAAGTGTGCTGCTATTTAGACATTTGTACAATCTTGGAATTGGCGCATGTGGCACCGTGCGACCTAATCGCCTGGGGTTTCCCCCAACGGTTTGTAAAAACCCGTCTTAGAAAGGGGGAGAAGCCTGCTTGAGAAATGAGGAATTGCACGCAGTAAAATGGAAGGACAAACGGGATGTTTTTGTCTTGTCTTCCATACGACCATCCAAATTACCACGGCAGCTGGTGGTGTTGAGAAGCCCCTCCGTGTCCACAACTATAACCTTAACATGGGAGGGGTGGACTTCAACGACCAGATGATGAAGCCTTACTTAGTTTCCCAAAAAACCAAACGCTGGTACAAAAAAGTGTCTTTATTTCAATTGGCTCTATATAACGCTTTTGTGCTTTACAAAGCAACTGGATGAAGTGGATCCTACCTAAAATTCCAGGAAGAGATCATCACAGCCCTTTTGTATCCAGAAGGTGCTATGTCCCAAACCCCCAACCCAGATGCAGTTAGCCAGCTGCATGAGAGGCATTTTCCCGATGCCAGTCCTGGCAACCTGGTCTCTGCCTCAAGGACTGCTTCCGTCACTACGACACACTAGTAAAGTATTAGCATAGGGTACAGCTAGGCACAGTTCAGTGTACATAATTACACACGGTCTCGAAAGATGTTAGGTAGTCAGGAAACTGGTTATCGCATTTTCAGAGACCCTACAATCTGTTTTAAAAAGTTAAAGTTTAAAAAAACAAAGTACAAATCCCCCAAAAATTCAAAATTTGTAAAACCAAAAATAGTTTTTTTTTGTTGTCGTTGCTCCTGTTCTGCTTTCACTGTTTTATTGTTAACCATTGCTGGTTTCTTTACAGGAATGCTTTCAGCTGCAGCACCGACCTGTTTATTCTGACAGCAACAGGAACTTGCTCTCAGAATATACATAAGTCAGTGTGGGCAGCGTTGTTAGATGAGATTTTTCATCCTTAATAAAAAAAGAGCATATATGCCGAAGCATGGGGGCCTGGGGTGCCCAGTGGATGGATGCCCCTTTGTTTCGACATATATATTTTATAATATTTGTTGGCACATTTCATGTGTGCCCACCATTAGAAGTGAGTGGATGCAGGGAGGTATGTGTGAGAAAAAAAATGAGATCTGCCAAATACTCACCATGCCTCTTTTTAAATTCCATGGGGTGTCTACTTTCCAAAATTGGTCCCTTTTGGGGGGATTGGTGCTATCCTGGCATTTCAGGACCTTCAAAACTATGATAGGTAGTGAGGAAGTGAAATGAGGAAGTTACGCACCTTCAGGCTTTCAAAGTGATCATTGGATTTCAGGCTCCTGTATGTGACTAGGGTCCCAAAAAGTCTCACATGTGCTATCCCCATACTCAGAAGAAGTAGCAGAATGTATTTTGGGGTGTAATTCCACATATACCCATTGCATGTGTGAGAAATATATAATTTAAATCACAACTTTGTGTAAAAAAAAAAAAAAAAAAAAGTTTTTGTCATTTTACAAAAACTTGTGGGAAAAAATAAATCTTCCATGGACTCAATATAATATCTCAACAGATTGCTTAGAGTGTCTACTTTCTGAAAAGGGCACAATTGGTGGTGTTTGTACTGTCCTGGTATTTTAGCACCTCAAAACATGTGATGGGCAGTCAGATTAAAAGCTGTGTAAATTCCATTATCTATACCATAGTTTGTAGATGCTATAACTTTCACACAAAGAAATCAATGTACACTTATTGGGATGTTTTACCAAAAACATGTATCAGAATACATTTTGGCCTAAATTTATGAGGAAATTTAAGTTGTTTGGACATTTTTATGACAGAAATGAGAAAATCTTTTTTTTTTTTTTTTTTTTTTTTTAATTTTCGGTCTTTTTTTTGTTTATATCGCGAAAAATAAAAGGCGCACAGGTGATCAAATACCACCGAACAAAAGCTAAATTTGTGTGAAAAAAGGACATAAATTTCATTTTATATATAGCATTGCATGACCACTCAATTGTCCGTTAAACTAGTGCAGTGCTGTATAGCAAATAATGGCGTAAATTGCAGTATCTATACCATAGTTTGTAGACGCTATAACTTTCACACAAAGTAATCAATATACACTTTTTGGGATTTTTTTTTTACCAAAAAACATGTAGCAGAATACATTTTGGCCTAAATGTATGACTAACTTTGAGTTCACTATAGATTTTTTTTTTTTTTTATAGCCGAAAGTAAAAAATGTTGTTTTTTTCAAAATTTTCAGTTTTTTTTTTTTATAGCGCAAAAAAATACAAAGCACACAGGTGATCATATACCACAGAAAAAAAGCTCTATTTGTGTGAAAAAAGGATGTAAATTTAATTTGGGTACAGCATTGCATAACAGCACAATTATCAGTTGAAATAGTGCAGCGTTGAATAGCAAAAAAAGGCCTGGCCATGAAGGGGGGTAAATCTTCAGGATGGCAAGTGGTTAAAAAAAAAAGGGAATCTGCAATTTTTCAACTTTTTTTTTTTTTTTTTTTTTTTTTAAGTTATGCTATCTGTGTATGAACATGGAGCAAGTGAAATGGCTGTTCTCCCAATTTGTCTGTAAAAAATGGAAATGCACTGTAAGGTTTTCCACCTCTTCCCATAGGGACAGGAGGTCATGGTTCCCTAGGGACCTTTTTTTCAATCTCCCTTGCAAACAAGTCTATCTCCACATGCAGTAAAACTACAAAAATTGACTATACTACTTAGTTCCACAATTAGCGCAAAGACCCAAAGACAAATTTTCTTGGCCTTGTAGTGCAGTTAAAGCTCACCTTTTGCTGACTGTTTCATCAGTCTTTGATGGCTCAGTACTGCTCTCTCAACAACATTACATTGGAGATTTCACATAACGGTATCTTTTGTTTACCAACTTTGTCTCCAAATATCACCCAAACTGTCCTCTGCACTGCACCCAGGACAACCTGCTCTCTTGTCTCCTCCTCCCATGCTCGTCTTCAGGACTTCTCCAGAGCCTCCCCATCCTCTTGAACTCCCTTCCCCAATCTGACCCGCTTTTTCTTATTTTGTCCGCTAACAACTGCATCTTGTTTCTCCCATCAGTTCATCCCTCACAGTTATTACCTGTTGTTCCACATGCCCCTCCCTATTAGATTGTTAGCTTCCTGGAGCAGGGCTCTCCTAACACTCGTGTATTGATTTGTATTGTTGCTGTATTGTCTCCCTTTATATTGTTAAGCGCTGAGCAAACTGTTGGCACTATATAAATCTTATATAATAATACTTATTTTTGACTAAAAAAAGAAAAAAAAAGTTGAAAAAAAATGTGGTGAGATGTGTGAAAAAAGTAGTTCATATCCATTTTATATGTGTATACCCAATCATCAGGTGGAATCTCCTGGCTTCTCATGCATGTTTTAATGGGGCTTGCTTTTACAGAGAAAAGACGATGTGGCACTTCTAAAAATGTTAGTATGGTTTAGTTGTATAACATAATGGTAATTAATCCATTATTTGTTGTTTAACAGTTACTGTCATTTACAGGAAACAAAAAAGCCACCTGCTACCTCTGATGAAGCTGTCGTCATACCTGATGTCATACCTGATGTCACTGTTCTTCCTACCCCTGCTGAACAGCAGACACCCACCACAGTGCCTTCTCAACCCCAAGTAGTGACACCTTGGTCAGGTCAGTTGGCCTCTTGAATTGCCTGCTAGCCTTTTTTATATTTCAGAGATACCTCTTGCAAGATTTTCCTATAGTAGTTGTATGTCTCTGCCCACTTTCACAACGGTGATGTCTTTTTTACTTGACACAATCATTTGGCAAAAGTGGCCGAATGCCACTTTTGCACCCACTTTTCTAGCTATTTCTCTATAGAGATTGGAAGCATACTGATAGACTGCTTGGCTCCCCCTTAGTTCTTCTTAGTCTGCTAATTGTTAAGCGAGGATTTTTTTCAGCGGTGGCTTGTTTCTACTGGTAAAGAAAGCACCTGTCTTTTAGGACACAAGTGGTAAAAGATTGGAGACCCTTTTCTAGCACTCTGTTCTATCTGGGGGGGTTCTGCTCTTCATGCGATTTCTGCTGTGTTTTGATTCTTTTCTTATAGAATGTGTAGAGCAGATGGCCGTAGAGTTATTTTCAGCTGTGACAGGTACTGGAAGCCTCCTATCTCATTTCCTACATGTGTCTTATGTTCGTGCATATGCTTAGGGCACTTTGGCTAAAGTGCTGGACTGCAGAATTCTTATGAAAAAAGCTTTTGGATCCACATGATTTTTGAGGGGACAGCATCCTTTCAAGTCCAGATGCACTGCAAGTGTATGTTAAGATTTTCTGCATAAAGCAACGGTTTCTCAGACTTGTAAACTACAGAGTTCTACCAGATGTTTCAACCTCATCTGATGCCAGCTTTGGACATAAGATCCTTCAAGCAGGTCTTTGAGCTGTAGGTTTTTCCTGGCTCTGTTAGCATTTGTTTGCTATGTTACTCACGCCTCAGGCTACTTTTGGACATCCTGAAGGTCATACAATAGGCCAGAAAGAAAATGGGATTTTTTAATTGGCATAAAGTCCTTATTTTGGAGTTCATTAATGCTTTCACTGCCAGGTCCGTAGGGCGTATGGACCTACAGCACCACTTCTAGCTGGCCAGGTCCGTACGCCGTACAGACTTGCATTCCTCCTCTGCTATAAGTTCATGGTCACTTCAGTGACCATGAACTTGTAGCAGAAATGTTCAGCAGACTCTGCTAAATAAAAGGGTAGCACTGATCAGATCCTCCCCCAGCCCTGCCACCGCATCTCTGCCTTGCCTCCAGTCCCCCCACTCGCCTATTCTAACCCCCCTCCAACTGTTCCTAACACTGCCTTACCCTGTCGGCACTAACTGCAACCCCGCCCCCCTTCCCCCTCGCAAAACCCGATCACAGAGTGATCCGTGTCCCAAATGCCCCCCCCCCCCCCTTTTAGTGCTCCCCCACCTTTCCTGTGTCCGGGCTCCCCTCCCTGCAGCTGCTAGCTGGCTCTCCCTCCTTTCCCTCCCGCCAGCTGCAGCCACTGACAGATCACTGTCAGCTTGGACAGGGGGCCCCCCTTCCTTCCTGAGAGCAGGGGGGCTGGTAAACGTGTTTACCAGCTTCCTACCTTTCCTCAAACAATACAGACCGTGATCAGTACAGATCGCTCCTGTAATTATCCATCACTGACAGATAGGAAATTGTGTTTACTGTCAGCTTGTGAATAAAACATAGTAAAGACTGTTTCATTTTATGAATGAAAGAATTCTATACAGACTCCAATCTCCGTTATCTTCAGTGCAGCTCATGCTGCAGAGAAAGGGACTGTCTTCAGTCTCAAAAAAGAGACATTAGTGGTCTGTTTAGACTGCTGATGTCAGCAGCTCTTTCATTTGAATGGGCTACCGTGCTGGTTTTTCACGCAAAAAAAAGTTGTATGCACATTTTCCAAAATGCATCCACAGGGAAACGACATGGTGTTTTTCGATCATGTGGTTTCCCTGCGGTTCCAACACCCGTGATTGCGCTGTGGGGTGAGATGTCTTCAGTCCCTTTCTCTGTTTCAAAAAAGAGACTGTCTGTTTAGTCCCCTAAAAAATAAAAAGGTACCTCTACAAAAAAAAAAAAAAAAAAAAAAAAAATGAGGTTGTACAAAAAAATAAAAATATACAGGGTAAATTTACACATGCGTCTAAATCTCCCTTGCTTCTGAAGCATGACGGCATCATCACCCTGTCCAATGCCTATTGCAACTTAAGGTGGGGCGTTTTGCAGGCAGCAAAATGCAGCTCTATCATGCATTTTTGCCGCTCCCAACTGCAAGTCTAAACAAGGCCAAAGGCCTTGTTGACGTGGGGCATACTACAGCGAGGCCATGTTTAGCTGCACAGGGATGCACAGTTGTTTGTGCATCCCCATGCAGGAAGTCCCATTTATGTCAATTGGGACACAGTGGCTGCATCAAGACAGCCACAGCTTCCAAGTTGACATCTATGTTAGTGTATGTCCCTGAACTCCCACTGTCTGCATTTGGGGCCTTGAACTTACATCCGCATAGATGTCAAATCTGTCCTTGCAGCTGCTGCATCCCTGTTGACGTGAATTGGATTGCCTGCATAGGGATGCAAAGAACACCTGTGCATACCCGTGCGGGTAAACGTGGCCATAGACATACGCTTTAGCACACCCCAATGAACGAGACCTTATTAGGAATTTAGCCGGAAGTTATGTTGTGGTTTCATGTGCAAATAAGGATTTTAGGGGTTTTTTTTGTGTGAAAATAGCGATTTGATAGATATTTACGCAACTATTGTGGTGCCTAAAAAAAAAAAAAAATCAGCACCATCTTTTTATTCTACCGGTCCTGTGCTTTCAGAAAGTATGTGGGTTTTTTTTGTGTGTGGGGGGGGGGGGGTCTTTTACAAACTCTGAAAGCTGTAAGTGAAAAAATGAAAATCTCCAGATTTTTAGAGAAATCTTTGCATAATTTCGATTTGCATAATTTCACAAAAAAGCACTACCGTATTTTCCGGCGTATAAGACGACCCCCTACTTTTCCTGTTAAAATATAGGGTTTGGGCTATACTCGCCGTATAAGACTCCCCCTCTTCCAATGCACACCAAATAAAAATTATAAAACATCAGATTTGATTTCAATATGGTATGGTATTTCAGTATGGTATTCCAATGAGCTATTCCTCCCACTGACACCAATGATGGGGCACGATTCCTCCCACTGACACCAATGATGGGGCACGATTCCTCCCACTGACACCAATGATGGGGCACGATTCCTCCCACTGACACCAATGATGGGGCACGATTCTTCCCACTGACACCAATGATGGGGCACTATTCCTCCCACTGACACCAATGATGGGGCACTATTCCTCCCACTGACACCAATGATGGGGCACTATTCCTCCCACTGACACACCAATGATGGGACACTATTCCTCCCACTGACACCAATGAATAGTGGCCCATCATTGGTGTCAGTGGGAGGAATAGTGCCTCATCATTGGTATCAGTGGGAGGAATAGTGCCGCGTCTTTGGTGTCAGTGGGGGGAATAGTGCCCCATCATTGGTATCAGTCGCAGGAAATAGTGCCCCATCAGTGTCGGTGGGGGGAATAGTGCCCCGTCTTTGGTGTCAGTGGAGGAATCGTGCCCCGTCATTGGTGTCAGTGGGAGGGATAGTGTCCCAACATTGGTGTCAGTGGGAGGAATAGTACCCCATCATTGGTGTGTCAGTGGGGGAAGGAATAGTGTTCCATCATTGGTGTCAGTGGGGGGGAGGAATAGTGCCCCATCGGTGGTGTCAGTGGGAGGAAAAATGCCCCATCATTAGTATCAGTGACACCAATGTTGGGGCACTATTCCTCCCAATGACACTTTGCTGACCCCTGTTCCTGCATGGTGGTGCTGCAGCCAGCATACGTGGTTGCATCTGCACCTCTGCACGGCACACTTACCGACTGCTCCCTCACTCGATTTTCGCGGGGCCGCTCGGCTCCGCCTCCTCGCCAGTGATTGGCTGCCTGTGTGCCTTTCCTGAGTTACAGTTCTGGCGCCCAATCACTGGTGAGGAGGCGGAGCTGAGCGGCTGAACTGAATGAAAGAGCAGCCGCGCTTCCTGGACTGGATCGTCGTGGGACTGGGACCGGAGCCAGGTAAGAAACAGCAGCCCCCTGCCCGCCCCTGTACTTAGTGTCCCTTCCGTTGGAAGGGGGGGGGGGCTGCGGCGGCACCACCGCGCCGGCCCCTAAAAAGTGCCGCCCTGACAGCAAGTGTCAGCATGCCGTATACCGGCGTATAAGACGACCCCCGACTTTTGAGAAGATTTTCATGGGGAAAAAAGTCGTCTTATATGCCGGAAAATACGATATTTATAAGTTAAGCTTTTTTATATTTAGTAAGAATTTCGCAAGAATTTTGTAAAATTTGCTGTTTGTATCTGCTAATAATTAAGCAGATAAACATTTGCGCAAATATTACGGGGCCTTAAAAATCAGTAGCACCTTCTTTTTATTCTATTGCTTATGTGCATTAAGAAAAAAAATATGGTTTAGGGGATCTTTTGCAAACTCTGAGAGCTGTAAGTGAAAAATTAAAACTTCCAGATTTTGAGAGATTCGATTATTTACAATTTTGCATACGTTCAATTTTTCACCAGTTTGCAAAATGGCGCAGTTTAAAATTGACAAATATTTAATTAACGCAATACAAGGTTAAGTTTTTATATTTAGTAGGAACTTAGCAGGAATTCTGTAAAATGTGCTGTGTTTCTATCTGCTAATAATGATTTTAGTGTATTTTTAGTAAAAATATATATTTTTTAAATTTTTTATTTTAGGTACTTGTATAGAGCCGTCAATTTATACAGCGCTTGTACATATGTATTGTAAACGCACATCAGTCCCTAACCCTCAAGGGGTGTACAATCTAAGGTCCCTAACTTTCATACTTGCACATACTAGGGCCAATTTAGACAGGATCCAATAATCTATCAGCATGTCTTTGGAGTGTGGGCAGAAACCGGAGTACCTGGAGGAAACCCACGCAGGCACAGGGAGAATAAGCATGACAACTCCAGGCAGGTGGTGCTATGGCTGGGATTCGAGCCAACGGCCCTAGGACGGCCAGGCGGAAGTGTTAACCATTTAGCCACTGTGCTGCCCTCATTTTGATAAACATTTGCGCAAATACTTCAGGGCCTTTAAAATCCGTAGCAATTTTTTATTTTTTTTTTCAATTCTACTGGTCATGTGCTTTCAAAAAATATATGCTTTGAGGGGTCTTTTACAAATTCTGAAATCTAAGTGAAAAATGAAAACCTTCAGATTTTTAGAGAGATTTGGTTATTTACATTTGTTCTATATTCATTTTTCAAAATGGGCACAATTTAAAATTGACAAATATTTGTTATTTATTAACTCAATACAGGTTAAGCTTTTATAATCACTAAGAATTTAGCAGGAATTTTGTAAAATTTGCTGTTTGTATCTCCTAATAATAATTTGAGTGTATTTTTAGCGAAAATATCGTTTTGATAAACATTTGCGCAAATATTGTGGGGCCTTAAAAATCAGTAGCACCTTCTTTTTATTCTACTGGTCATGTGCTTTCAGAAAATATATTGGGGGTCTTTTACAAACTCTGAAAACTGTAAGGTAAAAATAAAGCAATGGAAAAATTGTAAAAATGGTCTGGCAAGCTGGTTTTAAAAGTGGAGCACAGGGCCTGGCAGCGAAAGGGTTAAGGGACAAAGGTTCCACCCTTCTGTTTTTTATGATCATGCTCTCAGTACTGATTTGCTACAAAGTTGAGGCATGTTGGTAGCTTTTATTTGTTTGCCAGTGACTAATCCTCCTGAAGGCAGGAGTTTAACTTGAAGGTGTAAGACTTTGTGTTGCTCAATGGAAACGAAGAAAAGGATTTTGTGGTGAGTACAAAAATCATATTTTGCGTTTTAGAGGGTTGAAGTGCAATAAATGAAGTATGTGATATAGCCTGCCATCTACTAAACTAGCAGTACCCAAACTATTTCCTGCTGATTGCCGTAAACTGACCCCCTGCAATGAGAAGGCCCTGCGTACGTTCAGCACCCAGCAGTCTGTTACAGGCACATTAGTCAGAGTTATCTTCTGCCTTATAGTTTTGACAATGATGCCAGAATGAAAAGCAGCCCATTTCTCACTGATGCTGACCGACATAGGGGCATGTACTGAACAAACGGGCATTTTTGTTGTTCCTGATGTGGGCATATTTTTACCCTTGCTGACCTATAATACCAGGGCACTTTTTTGTTCTTAATTGTACATCACAACTCACAGGGTACATCATTTTATTGACTACCACTTTCAGGTAAATGGAAAATGTCCACAAAAGGCAGGAAGACCTCACCCATGCATAAACTATCTCCACTCTCTCGGCTTGCTCACCTAAGCCTCTGTTTTAGTTAGTGTCCTTAGACGATGGATCTGCCTACGGATGTCTCTCAGGATATCTTCTTTTGTGGTCGTAATGTACCTCATTATGGTATACTCTGTACAACCTTGCTATAGAATGGCTTTGTCTTGTTCAAGGAGGCCAAAACAGACTGTGCCTGGAACCCACATGCAAGAGCAAGGATGGGTTATAATGTTGCTGGTTGGCACGGGATTCTGCAGGCAGTGATCTGTAGGGTACTATGTATGCAGTGACCTCACTGGCCCAAGGTGCTTTACAGGTCCAGGACAGTGATCCCCTTTGGGGAAGAAAGGGAGGACTGGGTGGGAGAGTAGAGTACCTAAAGGCCATGGTGGGTGAAGATTGGGCCTTCTGGTCCTGCAGCATGTACTCATGTGTGCCTTTGTGGTGGAACATATGGCAATTTCCCCTGGACATGTTCCCTGTGTATTTGTTGCAGGGTTTGATTTTTCATCCTGCTTTTTGGTTGCCTGCTTTGAGGACATGACTGTTGGAGCTCAAGTCATGAGGGATAGGTGTTTTTCTAACTCTAGAATTCCTAGCCGCCTCAAGGCAAGAAAATCGTGAAGGTGTACCACCGTACACGGAAAGCTTATTTAATCTGTTGTAAGGCTGATGCATTTCATCCCCAACAGTATGTTGTGGAGCACATTTTGGCTTCCCTTTAATCTAGTATGGAGAAGTATGTGGCTTTCAGTAATATCAAAGGGTAGATATCAACCTTGGCTGTTATTTTTCAGAACTTACCTAATTCCTTGGCAAAAACCTTTTTTTAAAGATAGTGATTGCAGTCAATGTGCCCCCCTTTGCCTCTGTGGGTCCTGAGTTTGGTCTTGTCTGTTTTACTGACTTGTGATCCTCTCTGAAAAATTCTCTTGTTCCATATGTAATTTTGTCTCTTTGGTCACCATTACTTTGGCTCACGGGACCTCTGTTGGTTGTGCTGGTTCCTCACTAGGCTAAACAGGTGTTGATAAAAAGCGCCTATTTTTTTCAGTTCTCTTCTTCATGCAAATGATTAACAAGGCAGCAGTGGTGAGCTCATGATTAATTGTTCACGTTTCCACCTGGAGTGGCCTCTCTGCACTCATTTGTATGAGTTTCCGTAAACTGGTGTTGATGCCTTCCTCAAACCCCCCCCCCCCCCCCCCTCTTCTTTTTTTTTTTTTTTTTTCTATTAACCTAAAGTGGTTTCTTGGTTCCCACCTCAATCAGTACATTGAGTTGAAAGTGCAAAAGTGCACCACTCTTTAGATGTTGTTCAAGCATTTTGAATTTATACTGCTATAAAGTCTGTGTGCGTCCTGTGATGTGCAGTTAAGTAGGATTTTTGATTTCTCTGTAAAATAACTTTCTTGGAGTAGATTACTGGATACAGGGATGCATCCCCTTGTGTTCTTCCTTGCGTTCTTCAAAACTAAGGCTTAGTTGCCTGCATTTTTTGGCCAATGTCCATTCAACAGAAGGTGGCTTGTTAAACTCAAGTAGTCTTCCTCCAATACAGGACAGTGAATTAGCCCTGAACAATAGTGCAGGAATAGTTTTGGTGGCGTCGACCTTTACAAGAAGAAAGGCAGCTCTGTTTAGTTATTTGATTAAGAAGAAATTGGCTAAAACTTAGACAAATGAAGGTATACTGAATGATTTCTAACACATGTAAACTGAAAAAAATCCTATTTCTAAGCTTTGTGTGTGCAATTTCTGTTTTCCCTTTTTTACAGTGAACTGCTTTCTTACAAGTTACCCTGAAGTTTTAGAACTTATTTGCTTTGTTGACGGAGTGTGAGCTTGTATAGAAAGTAGAGGTTTTGAGACACTATGCTCGATTTTCTAGTCGGGGCTTTTTCCAGGGAAGCCTGATCATTGAAGTACACTGCGAAATGCCAGATATCTATCCACATGTATGATCTTTAAAGTGTTCCTAAACACACAACAGTAAAATCAGTCTGTATATTCAGTAAAACATGCTTGTGATACACACTGTGGAACCTTAGGGATTTATCCTCTGCATTGTGTAAAAAGGCTGTTTGATTCTGTCTTCTCTGATCCTCCCCTTCTTCCAGTGCCCCCCTCTTATCTCCTGATAAGACATTGTGTGGAGTCACTCTGCACATGCTCAGTTTGGTGTGTATTGCTAGAGAGGGTTTTTTTTTTTTCTTGGGGGAGTGCATGTAATCAGCACAGGGCAAATCATTACTTTCCAGACAGAGGTCAAGGGTTCTGCATCCTCCTAGAGCAGAAAGCTTTAACATGTGCTCTGCTGGACACTGATAGAAGTCACAACACAGTTCTAACTGCAGATGAGAAAAGGTAAAATAATTGCATTTCCATGTTGTGTGTACTGTGGGAGACCAGATATAGAAAATGCAGGCACCTGGGTTTAGTAACACTTTAAACTCTTTTCACTATTGAATAGCTGACATTTCTTTTATATTGCAGGTATTTCGGCACAGGCAGCAGCTTGTGCAGAAACCGTGCCCGACTCTGCTGTGTTACAACCTCAGGTGACATCAACCTTCTCACCACTTCCAGTTTCAATGCCAGCAGTCAGCCAGCACATACTGCCAATGCCTCAGACCCTAAGTCCTTACCAAGATCCTCTATATCCCGGATTCCCTGTGAATGAAAAGGGGGAGAGAATTACCTCTCCACCTCCCTATTCCTACTGTAAAGATGGAGGTGATCTTCCTAGTGGTAAGTCATATTGTAGAAGGCATTTTCAACCTATAACATAAAGGAAACATTAGAAACGCCTGCATGTTTAACTTATTTTCCCCTTCTATTTTTTTCTTTGTTCCTTTTAGATAAAAGCATCCTTCATTTCTTCTACAATCTTGGCATTAAGGTTAGTCATTTCTTTCCAATATGGTTGCCTGGTTTTAGGTGTATTATGTCTGATTCTGTTGTTCACTGGTTAACACTGCTATAAAGCCTGTGGATTAAAAAAGTATGCTTTGCACTTCAGTGAAAATGGAAGATCTGTTTAGATGACATGCCCGTATCACCTAGACAGTTACATAAACATTGAACTGAGACATTTTGGGAAAAATAATAAAATTCTATTTTTTTTTTCCTGAACGCTGAATTTTGGCCACTATATACCCCTATTTTATACAGGTGGTGAAGGACCATATTCTAAATTTTTTTGGGAAGGTCCATTTTCAAAACAACAGTCTTAACAGTGTTAACAGCATCTAACCCCAGGGACAAAAATGTATTATAGCCTGCAAGTCCTTAGCTGTAGTGGATGCACTAGTTTTCTTTTTTAAAAACCTTTTTAAAGGCAGAGGTGCCTGATCGCTCAGTTCTCAGCTTTGGAGCTGGCAGAGGACAGATGCAGCACCAAATCAATGCTGCATCCTCTTGGTAAGTAGATTTAAAAAAAAAATAAAAAATCCCAAACTTCTCTTTTAAGATAAACAAACTTGTAAATTATGATATTCCCGTAATTAAAACATTTAAATGTGATTGCTCTACTTAAACATTCCCAGGATGTCTGTAGGACAGTTTTATGTCTTCCATCTGAATTTTCAGTAATTCAGGTTGCTGCTAGTACAGACATATGAATGAAAATACACCATGCATGTCTGCTCTGCAGAGCTCCATCTGGCTGTTGCAGCTGAGTGTCTTTCTTCATCTTGAGTTCACACTGATGCGGTGCGGAATTCGCAGCATTTTCGCATGCAGTTTACACAGGAATGTGGGACAGTCCCTGTGCGAATCACATGCGATGTACCGAACCGCATATATGTGAACCCGGGTTAAAGTTGAACTCCAGGTATGGTTTTTATTGCATTGTTAAAAGTGTTTGTCCAGCATAGAATATGCAAACTTACAATGGTTCAAACTGCTGTGGAAGTGGATAATCGCTGTAGCAGTTAGTGCTACTGCAGTGTTCTGGGTCCTGTGCTGCACAGTTTTCCTTTCATAAAGACAAAGTTGCTCGCTTGGCATTGCTGCTGTTCAAAGAACGCCTTGATTCTTTTTCCCCAGTGAATACAAGGAGATTTCTTGTTGGAAATAGTGGAGATGTGATGTCACCAGCTCGCCTCTCCACCTTGTCCAGTCAAAGAATGCCTTGTATGCGATGATAAAAATACAAGACTTTCTTTAAATCGCGGCATTCCAAGTGAGTGACCCCCTGTGTTCTCTATGTAGAAGGGCAGTTGTTCGGCACAGAACCCAGAAGACGGCAGCAATCACTGTAGTAGTAGCACCAACTACAGCAGTGATTTGCAGCTTCCACAGCAGCCCCTTTTGGGTTTCAAGTATGGATACTTACATTGGTCCAAATTGGATCAATGTAACTAATCAATTAAAATAAACTGGATTTCAGCTTTATTATGGGTGAAATATTGGGCTAAGACCTTCCCCCTTTCTGCAGAGCCCCAACGTCTTCTCTTCTGTGTCATAGGTGGCGTTGAAGGGTTAACGTTTACTTAAAAAATATGAAAAATGTATATGAAATGTAGTTCATGTGGCCTGGATGGAGGAATATGAGCCAGGTTATGTTTGAGCATGAGAATTTTCAGGCTGATGTCTGAACTTTCGTGTCAAATCATAGTAAGCAGCTGTGAATATAGCCTGCTCACTTTGTTCCTTTTCCAGCAGCTCTAGCTTGTGAAAAAAACAAATCTAACCGTACTCACAATATAGATCAGTTATATTTAATTTAAATATTCACACTGGTTTCTTTTTCAAATTTATTTTTAAGGCTTACACGTGTCCAATGTGGCCCCCGCACTTATATTTGCATCCTCTTCATCAAGCCTACTTAAATGTGTGCAGGATATATCCAAATATTCCTGTTTACCCTCAAAACAGTTGGATGCAGGACACCACTGTAAACCAAAATGAACCTGACCCTTCACTGTTTGTACACCAGAATGAAGTGAGAAATGAGGTTTTGCAGCCGGATACTTTATGCTCTTCATCGCCTCTTACACCATCTGTGCAAACTCCTGTAGCAGGACAAGTTCCATCCCAGACTAATGAATTGGAGGATACACAGCAGTTCCAGCCCAGTGTAAATGACTTTGAAAGCTCACAGGCAAGCAAGACAATATTCCCACAACCTCACTTTGGGCAAGGCTCCTACATGGGACATCTTCCAGTAGCTCAAGTTTTTCCGCAAGTGTGGTATGGATATCCATATCAAGGTTACATTGAGAACCCAGTGGTGCAACATAATGTTTTTATTACCCCTCAGAGTGCAAATGTGCCTGAAAACACTTTGTCTGTTGATGTTGCTGAAAGTGGCTCAGTTGAAGTAGCTATAAATCAGCCCCAAGAGCTAATGAATGAAAGCAGACCAGATCGGCCTTCGTTTGTTAATTTTGTTGCTACAGAGGAGTCTGGATTAAACGCCATTCCGGTTAAACCAGGACAGCAAATCATTTTAGATAGGCCTGTGATGGTTGATCCAAAGAGCCTTATAGAAAAAGTGCCTGAGATCCAGGTGTCTCCATCAGTTGTAACTAAAGCCCCAGAGGAAAGGAAGTCCAACGATCACAAAGTTGATCAGTTAACCACAGTGACTGCATCTGTAAACTCACCTGATGACAGACCAACGAGAGCAAAAGAGGAGAGCTCAGAGGATGAGAAGGAAGTATCTAATATATTGAGTGGCGGCAGATCAAAGAACTTCTACAACCAGTCATATGGAGGCAGGAGGTTCAGAAATGAAAAATTTCATCAACCCAACAGAGGTGGCTACCAGTATTCTAGAAATGAGGATAACTGGAGGGGAGCAAGAGGCAGAGAAGATGGCTATCCACATTACAGAAATTACAGGGGAAGGCTGAATCGCAGGCGGCCAATGGGAGATCCATATAGGCAATACCACGAATAGATATTCAGAGATTGTTTGTATTTATTTGGACATTTTAATGAAGATAATAATAAAGTACAGATTCTATTTAAAATTTGGGTTCAGGGAAAAGCTTAAAATAGATTGTAGCCATAGACTATTTCTTTTGGCACGAATTTTTGTGTTTTTTTTTTTTTTTTTTTTTTTTTTTCTCCTCTATCTTAATATAGGCTCACTAGTGGGGATTGTTTCAAATATTTTATATAAATAGAATTCATCTTTTGAAACATTTGGTGTTTGTAAGAGTAATGTAGATGGCTTAGCATTGGCAGATTTCTCAGTGTGTTAATGCAGTGAAGTTAATCATGCCAAATAGCGATGTCATATTTTGAATTGCCTTAGAGTACTTTAGACATTTTACAAAGCTTCGTATGAAAAAAATTTGCTTTTGATTGTGCTTCCATTCCCAAAGGCCTTTGACTTTGAGATCTTCAAGCCCCTGTTTACTTTGCAGGGGTGAAACTTGAATGTTGTCCCCTATTGTGACTTAATGTAAATATTACAATGTTTAACCACTTTTTTGCTGGGGAGAGCAGAAATATGTGATGCACAACTGTATGGTAATGCATGATTACTCTGCTCTCATGCAGGTGAGAAAATGGATCCAGGGCCTAAATTTATATTGGCTTAAGGTTTCCCCTCAAGTGTCTGGTCTTCTGTCCCCAAATTTCAGAACAGAGGGCCCCTGTTCAAAACAACCATGAACGAATAACCACGTCAGATTTTTTCTCACTGGCTACAAATGTGATTTTCAGGTGTGCCAATGTCATGGTCATTTTCACTACTGTGACCTGGCTGATGCAGAAAGCTGCCTTGCTGCTGATACACCTGGAGCAGGCCATTTGCCTGTAGTTTATGGCAACAGAATTTAAAAGCCCAAGTTCATGCATGTGCCTTGTTGTTGATTTGTTGAAATGAAAAGTATTTTTCTGTTTTTCCCAAATTAAAAACTCCACTGACCATTTTTGGATGGTTGGATCACATAGAAAGGAAGTGGTAATGCTGTCACGTGTATCTAATGCCAAGATAAGTTGTTTTTCAAGATGCATTCAGAGCATTTTCAATGCATGAAATGCTGCAGGTGTTTGGGGCCTTGTGCAGTTTACTGCTTGAAAATTCTGTCTGTGCACAAAGACATCCTGTAGATTACTTAGGGATGCAAGTATATGACCAGTTATCTTGAGCTACCGTCTCTTCTGTTAGGCCCCTTTCACGCAGGGCAGACTCCGACATGATCAGCAGGGGATCTATCTGCTGATCAGGCGGACGACAGTGAACATGAACAGAGCCCGCTGTGCTTTCTGGGTGGTTAGGTGTAAACGGACTCCGCTGTCAATTCATACCCTACTGCTGTCCAATCCTCTGATCTGCATAGATAGAGGGGGCGGATCACCTTTTTGTGTTTTTTTTTGTTTTTGTGGATTGGATTTGGAAGTAGGGGGTGTAAATGGACTCCAGTCTGTTTGCACCTGCCGATCTATAGGGGTAAATAGAGCGTCTGATCAGGTTTAGCTGAAAAAGCTGACAGGCAGACCTGATTGAACCCTTCATGTGAAAGGGGCCTTACTGTTTGGCAAAACTCTTGGAACAAAGCAGTAATTGAACATATGGTAGCTACATACGTTGTTCAGGAAACTAAAAGGGTGGAACAAAAATTATTTGATAGAGTAAAAACGCTGTTTACACTGTTTTTGCGTTTACACTCTGCTACATTACCCTTAATTGCCTGTGTGGTTACCATAGAGTTTGTGTGAGCTTTTTCTGCAAATACAGATAAGTACCACAGATAGGAATCCACAGCTGACCATCTAAACATAAAGAGAGGTATTAACGAGCAGGTCACAGGTAAGGAACATGTTCACATATTGTAAACTTAATAGTCTGCCATTCACAGCTAGATTGTGTAATTAGGGGACTGACATATGCACAGTTGAATTGGTATACCTAATAAACTGATAGCTGCTAGCAATAACTTAAAGCTACAGAAACAAAATTGATGTCTTGAGCTTTAGCACAGGGCACATGAAAGAAAATGGATGCTACACTTTGCACTGATGTATCGTAAAGATGTATAAGAATTTAAAGTATTTTATTTTAACTATATAGATAATCCTTGCGCCTCAGTATGTTCTACTTGTTTTTTAAAGATTGATAGAATTTAACATTATGTTTTTGTTATTGCTGTATTGATATTTAATTTCCTGATTCCCCTAACCCTGTTATTACTTCTGTTGAGGGTTTTTTTTTCTGCTTGTGGTGGACTATTGAATGTCTAATTTTCATTATGTAAAATGTACTCGAGACATATTGTTTCCAGGGATGGTTTCTTTGAAGAATAGGCTATTCTTTATATATCTTGAGTGCAGTGTGTTTTTAGAGCAGTTTTGCTCTTTTGTTTACAGGTTACGTTTGCTGTTTTTTTTTTTTTTTTTTTTTTTTATATTTCATCTATACATGTAAAAAAATGATTTAACATTTATTCCTATGCATGGACAAATTTGACTCAATGTTTTCGTTTTTATAGGAACATTATTTCTGTGCTGGTTTGTCTTGTTTATATGCTGTCTTAAAGCAAAATGTTGGTAAATAAAACCTTTCTAAAACTTTGTTGTTTTTTTTCAGAAACAACTAGTTTATTGAAAACGGAGGGTTTATCATATAAATTAGTACAGTAAACACCATGAACAGACAATATGTAGTTTTGTATGGAGGGGGGTAGCTTCAGAATAAGCATTACTTACTAATAGAATGACCAAGTCAGATACATAAAGCAGCAGTTTATATATTTGATATATAATATACTTTATATAGGCTTAAAAAGGGGGACCTGCCCTCAAAATGTGTTGTTGTATACTCAACAGGAGGAGGGTGAATAAAGCTCCGGATTGGAATGCTCTTCAGATGCTGGCGTGTACCATCTTTTCAGTCCAGTCTGTCAGTAAAACCCAGTTGGAAGGAGGACTGAGCTCGAGCAGAGGCACCGCTGATCCTGGCACAGCCTCGGTAGAACCTTGGGAGCTGTACCTGGACTCCACACTGTGGGGACAGTCTCTAATTTATTTTTGGACTGTGGATCCTGCAAGGGAGCTCACTTTGGTACTTAGTGCAACGTGTTGAGTTAGCTGCAGGGTGCTATACAAATCCAGGATTGTGATCCATTCTTATGTAACCAAGTCACTGAAGATTCTTTACTCACATCACATCCCTGGTTGCACACTTTACAGCCACTTCAGCCTTAACCCCTTATAAGGTACTCAGATGCTTTCCCCTGTCTTTGGCAAAAGGATTTGTTAGGGACTATCTACACCTGGATTACCATGCCCTCTTTCCATTCACACCCTATACACTGCACTTTATTTCTTGAGTACTTTGCAGGAGGTGACCCTCACTTGTAGCTATGGCGATGACCAGGTGAAAGGGAGCACAACGATCTCTGCATCCAATTCTAGTTCTGTTTCGGGCATGCAACAAGCAGCATATTTAACCTAAAGTGGAGTTCCAGCCATTTTTGTGATTATTAAAAGTCAGCAGCTACAAAAAACTCTAGCTGATGACTTTTAATGAACGCACACTTACCTGTCTCGGGGTCCAGCGATGTACTCACCTGTGCCATCCCTTCTCTCCTTCTGTCCTCCATGGTGCTGGCATCTCTACTGTGGGCACCAGGCTGTGACAGCTTGCGGCTTCACAGCCTGGTGCCCACTGCACATGTGTGAGTTGTGCCTCCTGTTTGGTCCGGCAGTCTCCTGGGACCTGTGAGCTTTCCTAGGAGACTGCGGGAGCAAGGAGGGGGCCGATCAATTTGCTGCGGTGAACTGAGCCGGAAGTGGGAGCGGGTACCTCTCAAAACTAGGTACCCGCTCCCCCCCAAAAGGTGCCAAATAGAAGGAGGGGGGGGTAGCAGGCAATTAAGCGGAGCTTCCACTTTGGAGTGGAACTCCGCTTTAAGCAGAATTCTCTGCATCTGTGTCACAGTTCCTTAGACAGATTTCAGCCATCTTTGTCTAGGGCTCAAAATGCCACACCTCCTTTCTGACTTCTGTCTCACAACCTGAGACTGATCCTGATATGCTGGTCCCGGAGACCACAGACACAAAAGGGAATGAAGAGCATACTGAAACTGTATTGGGGCAAGCTACAGAAGACTTTGCTTCCTCCGACTGCCACCATGTTGAAGAGGCAGCTTAAAAAGCTCATTGCTTCTGTCCACAAAAGCCTTGGCATTGTGCAGACCAGCTCTCCTCTGTTCTGGTATACCTACTCTCCTCTGTCCTGGCATACCTCTGGGTAAAAAGAGACCTGCAATATTCTGTAAACATTCCTTGTTCATGAACAGATAGAATGTGCGTCTATGATTACTGAATAACTCCAGAAAGGAGTTTTCACTTGCCCAATATCTTTGCTGAACTTTATTCAGTGGAAAAAGAGTTTGCAAACAAGTGGGCTATTCCTGTGGTTGATCCTGCCATCTCTGACCTAATCAAATATCTCATTGTACATATTGAAGATATTCCTTATTTCAAAGATTCTGCAGATAGAAAATCTAGCACTCTTCTAAGGACTGTCTTTGCTCCTGGCCTGCAGCCAGCTCTCACTGCAACTTCATTTCAAATTGCAGCCAACTTTACTTGGGCAATGAACAACCTACATGACTTTGTATTTCATGATCAAGTCATTGCAGAACATTTACAGCGATTTTTCTTCTGCCCTTTTTTTACCCAGAATGGCTCTAATCTCTATTCATATGCACAGAAACTTATGGTTGAATGCTTGGACAGATGAAGCTGCGTGCAAAAGGTGCCTCACGCATATGCCTTTCCAAGGAAGATGCCTGTTTGGTGAGGCACTTGACCAATTCATCAAAGAGGGCATAATAGAGGTTTTACTTCCACCAAAAGGACCACAAATAGCTCCTTCTCAGGAGTTCCTAGATTTCAAAACCTACATTCAGTCCTTCCTTTCGGTGCAAGGCTTGGCCCACA